AAGGATTTTAAAGAATTTGCTGTGTTTCCCCTATTTGGACCACCCTCAGGCCCCTAGGAGGCCAGACCCACGGTTTATACAAAATTGGTTCCCCTTCACCCAAGGATGCTTCAGGCCAAATATGGAACAAATCCTTTTATTCCTACAGAAGAAGAAGGGGACGGATGGACGGACGGACGGACGGACGACGGACGCTGCGGTATGGTATAAGCTCACCATGGTCCTTCGGACCAGGTGAGCTAAAAAACTTAACTGCAAAAAGGATTTAAAGGAGTGTCCAGATTCCAAAGCTCCTATAGATTAAAGAGTCCAGATCAATCAGCTGTACTTGAAATGTTAACAGTTGATTTATTATATAAACTGGTTCAAGTCCTGGTATAGTAGTTTTAATCCATTATATATCCTACTGTAATTTGATGCCTATTCTACAACAAAATCTTATTGACCTAATCACACTTAAGTCACAGCTTAATTACAGGTAAACTACAGGTATACATGCCAATTAAAGGCCAACAACCTTCCACTCCCTAAATATTTATCTAATTAAGTCATGTCGATATCTTATTTACATCAAATTAAGCTACTGTGGATTATACAGTAACTCCTGTTGGTACTGTTGATACATTTATAGCTGACCTGGATGACCCACCTGGTTTATACATACAGGTAGTTTAACCCTGACCAATGTAGATATCTGTCAATCTCCCAGTTGTTCAATATCAGTACACCCAATATCAGAGGTCAAGGTTCAAATGTACAGGGTAATACATGTATAAGGTCAAGGTTATTGACATTACATGTCAAAGGTCAAGGTTATTGACATTACAAGTCAGAGGTCAAGGTTCTTTATATTACGTGTTATTCATGTCAGAGGTCAAAGTTTTTTACATTACATATCAGAGGTCAAAGTTCTTACTATAATTAATACATTTTGAAGGTCAATGATAATACAATGTCAGAGGTCATGATCTCTTACATCACACATCAGAGTAATCAAAAAATGTCTACACCATATGTCAGAGGTCAAGATAATTAATATTGAATGTCAGAGATAACGGATGTTTGCATGTGTCAGAGGTCAAGGTGATTTACACTGTATGTAAGAGGTCAAGGTGATCTACACTGTATGTCAGAGGTCAAGGTGATCTACACTGTATGTCAGAGGTCAAGGTGATCTACACTGTATGCCAGAGGTCAAGGTGATCTACACTGTATGTCAGAGGTCAAGGGGATCCACACTGTATTTCAGAGGTCGAGGTTATCTATACTGTATGTCAGAATTCTTTGTTATCTACATTGTATGTCAGAAGTCAAGGTAATTAATATTGAATATGAGGGATCAGGGATAAAAAAAAAATCATGTCAGAAGTCAATGTTATCTACATTGTATGTCAGAGGTCAATGTTATGTATTATATATGTCAGAGGTCAAGGTTATGTATTTCATATGTCAGAAACAGTTAAGATTCTTATATGACATGACAGAGGTCAAGGATAAATCTACTTGATTGCTACATCCCATTATAAGCTCAACAGTGTTCTTGGTTCTATTCTGTAACATCATCCCTCCTTTATTCACCCCAGCACACTCGGGGAAGTGGCTCACACCAACACACTCGGGGAAGTGGCTCACCCCAACACACTCGGGGAAGTGGCTCACACCAGCACACTCTGGGAAGTGGCTAACACCAGCACACTCAGGGAAATGGCTCACACCCACATCCTCAGGGAAGTGGCTCACACCAACACACTTGGGGAAGTGGCTCACATTAACACACTCTGGGAAGTGGCTCACACCAACACACTCGGAGAAGTGGCTCATACCAACACACTCGGGATAGTGGTTCACACCAAAACACTGGGGGAAGTGGCTCACACCAACACACTCGGGGAAGTGGCTCACACCAGCACACTCGGGGAAGTGGCTCACACCAACACACTCGGGGAAGTGGCTCACACCAGCACACTCTGGGAAGTGGCTAACACCAGCACATTCAGGGAAATGGCTCACACCAACATCCTCAGGGAAGTGGCTCACACCAACACACTCAGGGAAGTGGCTCACATCAGCACACTCGGGGAAGTGGCTCACACCAACACACTCAGGGAAGTGGCTCACACCAACACACTCGGGGAAGTGGCTCACACCAACACACTCAGGGAAGTGGCTTACACCAACATACTCGTGGAAGTGGCTCACAACAACACACTTGGGGAAGTGGCTCACACCAACACACTCAGGGAAGTGGCTCACATCAGCACACTCGGGGAAGTGGCTCACACCAACACACTCAGGGAAGTGGCTCACACCAACACACTCGGGGAAGTGGCTCACACCAACACACTCGGGGAAGTGGCTTACACCAACATACTCGTGGAAGTGGCTCACAACAACACACTTGGGGAAGTGGCTCACACCAGCAAACTCGGGGAAGTGGCTCACACCAGCACACTCGTGGTAGTGGCTCACACCAGCACACTCGGGGAAGTGGCTCACACCAACACACTGGGGGAAGTGGCTCACACCAGCAAACTCGGGGAAGTGGCTCACACCAGCACACTCGGGGAAGTGGCTCACACAAGCACACTCGGAGAAGTGGCTGTAGATGTTTTGGTGTTGTTTCCTGCTTATTATTGGGTCTGGGTTTCAAAATGGCTCACTACAGCACAGAAACCACAATAGCCAACCCAGACAATAATATACTCAACTCTTGGCTAGTCAAGTGAGTAACAACGGTAACATGTCTACTCAAAGACACATCAACATCTTACCACCTGAAGGGTTTGAACCTACGACCCAGAGGTAAATCAACCTATTAACTACAGTGTATAGACTTGCTTTTAAAGGAAGTCTTCCCCTCATCAAAGTATCACCAAAATCATAGCTGAGATACAGATTCCCTGTAAAGCACTGACAAAAAAGGGTGTTGAGTGGACTATATGTTTACTCCTTTTATGATGTGACCTCATAACGGGGTCGTCATGAATTTGTATCAGTTAAAGATCAGACTTGTGCATCAAATAGATTTTACAGTTGCATATTTCAATCTGACAAGTCACATTTCCCTGTTATCTCCTGAGAAGTCAATGATTAAAATCTCACCTGAAAACAATGACAAAATGGTGGGACACACATCCTTAACTTATCAACTGATAATCTAAATATTCAAATATATAGGTAATTTCTGGAGTGTACCTGTTAACCCATCGCTACTACAGTGACACAGACATGTGACTTTCATTCAAATCTGTAATTTAAATGTCTGTATCAGTAACTGAGGGTACTTTAAAGTAAATGTTTACGCTGTAGTATATACCAATCTTATCCTCCAACAAATACCTATAAATAACTTTCGATCACACTGGAGTATTTAAATGTTCCACCTTCTCTAGTTCTCTAGTACATGTATTACAGAGCTTTATCTGTATCATATACTACCCATAATAGAGAACCTTAGCTATGAGTTAAACTCCTGAACAATTAAATGATGCATTAAGTTAAATTTGATTTTTTTTTTCAGTTACTGGTAATTTTGTTTTTATGTTTTTTTATTTCTTAATTTTTGTATTTTTGTATTTAATGCATGGTTATCATTTATTATTTTTAATTTTGAAAATTAAAAAATAAAATAATTTGAATTTCAGTTGATCATATCTTAAAGATCATGAAGATTAAAATTAACATCACTTCATATAAATTTCTGAAATCGTGATATGATGAGCACTTGGTAGATCGTGTCATTTCTTTAAGTATTCTAGCTTATGGCCTGGGATGACCAGATTTTCTGACCGTAACATAGCAAAACATCATTATCATGAACTTCCATAACTTGGACACATATATGTCTTAGGTCATTACCATAGGTAATAAAACAATGCCAGGCTGGACTTTAACAGGTAGATTTTGATTCAAGAAATATAGAGATTTCATAGAAAGAAATAGTTTCTGACACAGCTTAAACTTTAGCATTTTTAAACAAAAATCATAATTTAAAATGAAAATATTTTGAATTTTCTAAATATTTAGGTCTGGAATACCAAATCCTTGTTAATAATGTATATATACATAATTAGTAGGTATAATATATATGGGACCTTAGTTTAACGAGGTCCACCCTAGGCCTATATCTATCGCTATCACAATACTTAATTACCTGTAGATCTTAATGACATCATAAATTGTAAGATAGCTGAAAATATTTAAAAATACATGTACATGCACAAATAAAAAATTGAATTTATCAGATAACAGGAATAATCAGCTCGATTGGAGGAGAAATTTTCACTCACCACAAGTTGGTTCATTGTAGAAAGTATGTATCCTTATAGTATATGTACACCAGCTGGAACCAGTATACGTATTAATCCTTAGAAGTTAAATGCCGACAGGTGATAATGATGACTCTCCGCATTACGAACAACATTTATGTATACACACACGCCGAACAACTCAATATCATTATGCATATATATACATGTATTGTTTTTTTTTTTATATAAAACATGTAGTGATCCTATCCAAAACAATTAACTTACCGGATAACAAAAAGCCGCCATGTGGCTCAGGCGGTCGAGGGGTATTCGGTTCCACAATCTTTCTGACACAATGCTCCTGATTAAGTTTTGATAGGGAAGAATACGACGAGCGTTGTTTAGCCGTGGGATACACCTCTTCGACTCGTGTGCACACGTGTTTCCCACGATTATCAAAGTCAGAGTGTGTATTCAAACGGCTATCAGAATTACACGGGGAGGGATTTCGCAGTTAAAGAAATAGTCAAATATAGTTTTATTGGATCTGTGTAACGTACGTCACAACGTCACACTTATCTAAGAACAAGTCAGCAGGCATCAGTCTTGTACTGTGAGAATTTAAACACTACACAAATATTGGCTTAGACTCATAATGAAATATCTGATGTTACAGATATATATTCGTACACCTGTACACTAGAGGGAGTTGTAACCTTGAGGTTTTAATGATAATTATATTTAACATACCTGTTGAAATTATTGCTGGCATCACACCAGCTACAAATAGCTGTTTTCCGCCTATCTTTCAGAACTGTGCCAGCCGATTCCAGATGTACCCTGAGGATCAATAGATAAGTCAAAGAAAATTTGATCTAGATAGCATTAAAGAGGCAATTTTTTTTTGGCATATTTTTTAAGTACATGCAGATCATTTCTTTAAGATAACTTTTTCATTCCTAGATAAGACTGGTTGTCTGACAGGTGGATTTCTAGAAAGTTAGCTGGATTTCTAGGTTAGTAGTGTACAGGTGATCACAAGTTTCTATCAAAGATCCCTATACCATTAAGTACTGCCGAAAGCTGTATGAATGTGGAAACTTGGGTCCGAAAACATACTTGCCAACCCTCCCTATTTTGGATGGAGACTCCCTATTTTGGACCCTTAAATTTTGTGTTTTTAACCAGTGAATTTGCACCTTAAATTTTGTGTTTTTAACCAGTGAATTTGCACAACTCAAAATATGTCATTTTAAAGGGTTATTTTGTCTCTCAGCTCTGAGCTTGCAGAATTTCCTCTATGGAAATTTCAAAAAGTTGGCAAGTATCAGTGTGTGAAAATATCTTTTACTATATCATTTCTGAAAAGAAATCTCTACCTTGCCAGCGATTTGTTTTGCTCAGTTTTACTGCTGAATACAGTCACTGATTCCCCTAGCTTAAAAGTGACTAATTTTCCCAAAATGACCAAAAAATGAGGAATATATTCTCAATTTCAATACAAGTAATGCTAAAGTTTTCTAATTCATAAAGGAATAAATATAAGCTGTTGTAGAATTCAGGTAACAAAACACTGCTTGAAGACTTTTTATCAAAAATAATAAACAAACAAAAAATATAATCAACAGAGTGTTTTGTAGGTAAAAAATATAATGTGGACAAACTGGAACTTGAACCTTAATGAACCTCCGATAACAATATTGTCTCTCATACCAACTCAGCTATATATAGTCAACAGTCATCTGACCTGGCTCAGTCCCATTACATCCAAAATGATATTAAGGGGAGGTTACTGCATGTATGTAAAACTTCAGTGGAGCTCTCTAGTGTTTTATCTGTAGTGGAACAGGGATCCTTAAAGCATATAAACATGTCATGGTCTTAGGAATGAAATGACGGTCATAGATCTAGAGGGTCAAACTGTAGGTCAAGCCTGCTGAATTGCTGGTCAGTCAGTATGTAAACTTTTCGAAGCCATCTAAAGATGTGGCACTAACATTTGAACTACTATAATTTGCCATGATGATACTAGTTTGACTTATTAAAGAAATATTCTAATTTCTAAAGACATAAAGGGGTGATTTTTAACATTTTCATAGAAAAATCAATATTTGCACTTTCAGGTATATATCACAAAAAAAGTCCAAAGCCTTGCTCTGGTTGGCAGTGCATGAAGATTATATATACCCTGACCTCTGGGAAAAGAATCCTACTCACTAAATAGCAGCTTAAATGACCCAAAATAGTATCTCACACATATACAACTCCTTGCTAAACTCAGGATACAAAATCCTGAACAAACATATTATTCGGCATTGAATATAATGCACAAAATGTTTCCCTTGCTTTATACAGAGCTTGAAATAGTTCAGTACCTGAGGTCCACTCAACTTAATGGCAGTAAAATAAATTGAACTTGAAATAATGTATCCCAACTGGAGGAGAAAAAAAATGATTGTCTCCAACCAGTAGTTCTGATAAACAGAAAACTACAATCAGGAGTCTGCTTTCAAGGATTTTTTTTTTTTTTTTGAGGCCACAGATTATTAATTTCAGAGTCTTTTTTACTGTGTTATAATTATATGATATTCAATTATGATGAAAAAAAAACTAATTAACAATCTAATGATTCATGTTACAAATAGGAAAAAACATACTGTTTATATATGTCAAAGAGAGCTTGCAAATTTAACATATTTAATTACACAATGATATTCTTATATGAATTTGTTTGTGGTCTAACTTCTCGCAAACATTATGCAACTTGGATCTTTTTATAAAGCTAAATCTAATTTGCTGTAATGTTTCTGAAATGTTTATTGCGCAATTAAGTCAAGATTTATGCAAAGGCCTAAGACTAAAATCCTCAAGCAAGCCAATACACCCCAATAAACCAGCAACATTTTACTTCATTTCCTTATCATCATCCAAATCCAGTGTTTGCATACCTTACTTATGTGAAACAGAAATAAAGCCAGTCCTGAAATTGACGCATGCAAAAATTATCAGGCGTCACAGCAGTGTTAACATTAGATTTGATCAAACAACAAGCTTCCGATATGACTCTCAATTCAAGAGTCACATAGGCCCGCGTCTGATATAATGGTTCAGGTTTTCGTGACAAGGTGACAAATGTCCCCTGCAAGATTAGCTGCGGCCGTACCTCCTGATTATCAACTTCATAATGGCACCTGCTAAAAGTCTGGTATTCTTGCAAACAATGACCCTGTAAAAATCTTGGCACTTTTCTTTATTTTTTTCGTGTAAAACAGCTGTATATTTCTTTAGTTTTATCACTGAATTACAAAAAAAACAAACATGATTTTGATAGCAAACATTCATTACCACAAAAGAAATTCTCTGATAGTAATGTTGATGTAAAGAAAACTTAGCTCAACCAGACGTATATGTATTATGCACCTGTATATATATATATGTGTGTCTGTGAGTGTCTAAGATAAGATGAGGCGTGTTTCGTGCTTTACAATGAAAGCAAACAGTGCGAAATCATATAACCCTTATTTTAAAAGCTATAGGGGCACAGATGAAGAGCTATGATGTATTTTATATGTTAAGGTAAATTATAAATCTTGAACATAGTTACAATTTGCACATTGCTTCTTCAGAAATAGTAAAATGTCCAAATCTAAGATTGTTAACTGGTAGGCACCTATTTTTTCTGATCAGTCTCAAAACAATGCATGCACAAATTTGGAAAATGGGGAACCAGTACATATTATCTCTCATGAACTTTTTTGCTATAGTGATAGCAAACCTGAACTGTCTAAGATGCCTGCGTGTCAGTCATCTTGTTCATATAATCAGTCCCAACATGAAACATGCACAAAGGGGAACCTACCTGTGATATATGAGAAAGATCTGTCTAGCATTTGAGAAAAAGTAACAGCAAACTTGAACTGTTAAATCCAAGACGGCTACCAGTTGCTGGCCATTTTGATTTTTTTCTGATTAGTCCCTACATGAAACATGCACATTGTTACTATACACCATTTCTGATTATTCCCAAGGGGAACCTACCGATGAAACATGAGGAATATCTGTGGCATTGCCATGGAGAAATAGTCACAGCAAACTTGAACTGTCAAAACCCAAAGATATACTAGCCACTTCCTCCTGACTTGGCTATAGGGAGAATTTCTCTTTAGCTCATTTGGTAGAGCATAAAACTAGCAAGACAGAGATCTCGGGCTTGACCCTTAGCAAAGGCAATGACAAATAAGGATCTCTTAATGTATATCCGTTACATTAATTGGCACCCATGTAGGAACCTGGGAATGGAGGGGGAGTAATGTCACCCTGGTAAAATACTAGCAGCTTCAATTCCTACTGACTTGGCTACGGAGAATTCCTTTAGCTCATTTGGTAGAGCATAAGACTAGTAAACTAGACTGAGGTCCTGCATTCATCTCCTAGCGAAGGCATTGAGCAAATAATGACCTCTGTTATATTGGGCCCCATTCGTCCCTGAGAAGTTCTCAGGATCAGGACCTAGGAATAATGATAGTCAGGTTATGATACTGGCTGCTTCCTACCAACTCAGCTAGGGAGAATTTCTCTATAACTAATTCAGGACAGCATAATGACTAGTAAACTAGAGGTTTTTGATTTGAAACATTGGGCACCTTTGTCACAAGCTCTCTGTTACACCTGTGATTATACACATGACAGACAGACATGTAGTCATATTCTTATGTTATGGGTTATCGTGATAAGGACAATGTAAAATGTGATCCTATCATTAAGGTATATGAACTGGCATGGTTTGCTTAACTACATTGTAGTTGTTTACACATTAAACTTTCACCTCAAGACTCATACGTAAAATAATATCAAATTAAAAACAAATTGTCTTGATGAGGACCAGGAAAGGGAGGCAAATAGAAGAGTGGTAGGTTTTAATTGTACATACATGTGTATATGGAATGTCTAGCTTTGTCCTATACGGAATTTCTAGGTTCGTGCTATATGGAATTTCTCTTTAGCTAAATGGCAGAGCAGCGGACCAGGAAGTCTGGGGTCACGGGTTTGATACCCCGCGGAAGCACCCTATATTTCCTGTTACACAAACAATCAGGTGTTTGTATGATGATGTTTTTCTGAATAATTATTCAACTGGTTCAGGGTGTCTTTCAGTCCAGAACACTTTGAAGGTGATTTTTTTTTAGTGGGAGGTGAAAATGTCTCAACAGTTATAGCTTAATTCTTCTTATACAGCGTACCGACCAACTTTAACAATTGGAAGATTAATGTCAGATGAGGGTTTAGATGGGAAGAGGAAAGGTTTTGACAGTAGAAGTTTAGTTTGTTTTTGCAAAGTGACTTGATTTTTAATTTTTACAAGACAAGCATTAAGTTTTTTTATTTAACTGGTCCATGTGATCGGTCTATAATAGGCTTAAAAGGTAGCTTGAGGGCAATACCCAAACTTACACTCTATAAAAATACGTCAGTCTACAAACTAGCGTTTCAATACATGTACCGGTAATGTCATGTTCAGTCATGAAAATTGAAATTACAACAATGACATCGCATTCGACATAATTTCCATTGATGTTCTTTTTGTCCCGGATAACAGATAACTGTTGAGCTTAAATACATTTAGTAAAACTTACCGACGTAAAAGTCCCAAGCGAGGTACAGTTCACTGCTGTCAGCTGTTGTTAATCTCCGTGTAAACAAATCAACGCATAACATCGCTTGTACTTCCGTCGAAGTAAAAGTGACACTCTGATTGGCTGATTGCACTTTTCAGCCAATCAAAATGGTTTACACAAAAAGTTTTCGGTTTTCGCGCACCTTCTGTATCTATGAACACGTGCACGTGTGATTGGACCCTAATTGTATCAAGCGAGATAAACGCACACCATGCAAATCATTATACACCCCTACCGCTAAAAGAATTCTATTCAAAACATGCGCAGTTTCAACAAGTTTACTATACGAGCGTAAAGTACATTGCATATATATGATATTGTATAATGCAATACACCGACCTAATACTACCGGAGCTTTTTGTAGTCATTACAATGCAAGGGAAACAACTCTTATAGAAATACCAGTAGAACACTAAGTCTCAATTCAAGTTTATTTGGTAAAAAGGTACAACAACATAACAATGTCATACAGTACCCAATAATGTTTTGGCACTAATAATTTATATGGCTGATTACATTATAAAACATATTAATGTAAAATTAGGTAAGTCTCTCTAAAAACAGTTATCACAATTTCATAAATTACAAGGTAGGTAACGGTTATTCGTACGAAAAATGAAATAACTAAAATATATATGTTGCCCTTAAAACCAGGATAACCCAGAAAGCCCCGAAGCTTATTTCCACTGGGGTCCATTAAAAGACACATAAACACTACTTAAGTAAAAATTACTATAGTTATTATGTTTGAAGATAACTTGATTTTACGTTGAAAATGATGTTAATATATAGGTTGTAACTTAAAACACATTGCATTGAAGTACAGCACCCATATTGTGTACACACTCACATATTCACATACACACATACACAAACATGTATATAAAACATAATACGTCAATAAATTACAAATATTCAAAAAGATGATTTTTGATCGCAACTTTGAATGATGATTTACTCTTGATCTTCCTGATACTTTCTGGTACAGAATTCCAATCTTTAGCAGCATTGTAATAAAACGTGGTAGATTCTGCCCCGCTCACATTTGGAATATAAAAGTTGTATTCGCTAGTTGCTGCAGTTCTGTTAGCCTTTTGAAGTCTGTTTTAAAATAGGAGGGGCATTTGTCATTAAAATTATTAAAAGCATGGTTTACTCTGAGTTGTTTTACTCTGTTACTTACATTAAGCATATTTATACTAGAGAATTCATTGTAACCCATTCTGGACCTGGAATATAATTTAAAAATAAATCTAATAACTTTATTTTGTGAAACCTGCAGTCTTTGTTTCAATTTTTTAGTTAAACCAGAGTACCAGGATGAGCAAGAGTAATCAAAATGACACTGTATTATGGCTGAGCATAACATTTTCCTGGTGGATGGTGGAAGAGAACTTGTCTGTCTATATAGAAATGTAAGTCTATTACTTGCTTTATTACAATGCTGTTGACTATACATTCACCAGATAAAAAAGCAATCAATGGACAAACCAAGATATTTGACGAAAGGTTGCATCAGAATAAGATGACCATTACAAATAATTTTAAACTGTTCAACATTTCTTTTAGCTTTCTCTTAGTTCCAAAGAGCATGCATTCAGTTTTCCCCAGATGTAGTGACAGTTTGTTATCAACTAGCCAATCTGAACATAATTCTAGAACTTGGAACTCGAAACTGGCTATGATGTCAGTATTTGGTGAATACCCTCGATAGTTTAAAAGATAACTCAATGATAAAAGACGCTATTTGATTAATATTTAAATCTGTTGAGATTAATCAATTCTATTGAGTAAATTGTTATTTATTTTATTTATGAAAACATTAATTATTTATAATTAATGACATGCAAATATTAGCAAAATCGGAACTACAACTCACACTCGACCACGATCACGGATTGACGGATATGCAATGAAAGAAAACAGTTTGCATGCTAAGTGAATCGATTGAAATGTTATAAAAAAATATCAAACTTGATCGAATGTCACTTTGTAGAAATTTTAAATATTCTAAAATATATCCAGTGAGGAAAAAACCCACATTTCGGGGTTAAATGAGCTCGAGTCAGTTGACGTCAAGGCGAAAATATTATATACTATCAGCAACGAAGTATATGTCACAGATACAATATGTAGTGAATTTTATTATCACGTATTTTATACAATTTTAAATAAAATGTGTTATTTATTTCATAATCAATTTCACTATAAAGTCCTGTTCGTTCAATAAATCTAGATCTAGACTTTAATTTTATTAGGCACCGATTTAGATTCGATGAAATTTTCATATGCCTTTTTTTTTTGTAAATTCCTTTTGTAATCTACATAACACTTCCGGTGTCTTGACGCAGACGTGGCAGATACCTAGTCAGCTAAAACCATTAACAACCTTATAGGCAATATATACAGCTAAAACAGGTATGCTCACAGTGTCACAGTGCGTTGCAGCCTCTCCTTAAACACCTCTAGATCTATAGCGAGTCGGCTGAGATGACTCGGATTGGTAAATCATTCCACAGACGAATGGCAGATGGTAAGGTGGACTGCTGGTGGCTTTATAACCTGGAGAATGGCAGGTGGAAGTGAAGGCTGTGTCCTCTTGTTGTAATAGTTAGCCCTCTTGTGATGAGATGTGGTTGTGGTGGTTTATTGTCACTAACTCATTGATGATGCGATAGAACATGATGACCTTTGCCCGCTTTCTCCGTTCTTCTAAGGCGGTCCATTGGAGTTTGCTCGGCATTGATGTGACGCTGCTGGTCGTGCTGCTCTTCTCTGCACCATCGGAATTTGTCTGATGTCCTTTTGTATATTCCACAATATTCCTGACCAGCATTCTGTAGCACTGCTCCTTGATCTTAGGTGGACATATGCTGATGTTCCTTTTTAAGAATGCATTGATTATGTTTCTTTTTTTGAAAGTGTTCCTATTATGTGATTTGACCACCTGAGGTTGTCACCGATGTTTACTCCAAGATACTTCTCTATATTAATTGTGACAAGTGGGGTTCCAGAACCTCACAATTATCAGGACTGACTGCCACTGCTGCAGGTTGTCAATGTCGTTTTGAAGGATCCTAGAGTCCTCATATGTACGTATCTTCACGTAGAGGAGACAATCATCTGCAAACAGTATTGTTGATGATGGTACACTCTCTTGCAAGTCGTTGATAAAGATCTAGATCACGAACTCCAGATGTTACGTCCGTCCTCTCTGATCTTTTCCCATCCACCACCACCCCTTGTTTTCTGTGTTTCAGGAAGCTGGCAATCCATTGCAGTGAGTTACCTCTTATCCCATAGTTGTCGCACGTGCTCACGAGCCTCTGATGAGGGACCTTATCAAAGGCTTTTAGAAGTCTAGGAATACACAGTCAATCTGTTCTCAGATATCAAGACCATTTGTTTAGTCCTGCAATGTGATGATAAGTTGTTATGATAATGTGATCATGCTTTTCGAAATCAATGTTGGAAGGATGATAATATATTCCAATTTTCGAGATGACCAATGATGTTACTGTGAAGTATATATGCTTCATGATCTTGCATGTGATGGAGGTGAGGGATACTGGACGATAGTTGGAGGCCTTCCCTCAATCTCCGTCCTTGACGAGAGGTGTGACCACAGCCTCTTTTCACCTCTCTGGTATCCGTCCCTGTTATAATGATGCCTTGTATATCAATGTTAGGACCGGTGTAACCTCCTCTGCTAGTTCCCTCAGGAGCTGTCCTGGGATAGCACCAGGGTCAGTGGCTTTTTGGATGTTAATATACTTCAGCAACTTCATCCCTCCAGATGACTATATCTGGCAGATCTAGATAGGGACTAACACCTTTGTTGGTTACAGAACTTAATTCCTCTCTTGTGAAAACTGATATGAACCGCCTGTTAGGGATGTTAGCCTCGCTGGTGTTTATCCGTGGTTTATATATTACTACATATGTTGATACAGGCAGTATACCATGCCTAACGTTTTGTAGGTTGTCATTTTAACTGCTTTTTGTACAAACTAAATAAGTGTATTTTGGTGTTCATGGGCCAGGGGTTAACTCATTCAACCCTACATATTTTAACTGGACTTGCCCAGTCTTTGATTCGGTAAGGTTCAAATGTGACTCTGGGGGTGAATGGGTTAATCTCAGTTTTTAGATTGAAGGATATCAATGAAGCTGAATTAACAATGTTTACCACTGAAATCGATCTTTCATTACCACGTGACTCAAAATATGTGTCATTTACATCAGTGTTTAGCAAGGTACTTTCGAATATAGGGAGTATTCGATATTATTTGTATCGATCAATAGCAGCAATATTAATATAACTTATCAATGCATTTACACGTGATGAAATAATTACTAAATAGGTTTCTTATATAGACTGTCATAACAAAATAAAAGGCAGGTATGTACTGTCACTACTACCAAGAAACAGACCATAATCTTTCAAACAACATTCTTCTCCCCATATTTTCATAAAAGGAACTCCCCGGCAATTGTAAACGTAATAATGGAGCGGTTAAATTGAATTCTAAATATAGATCAGGTCTAACTATACAGTAGTTTACCCACATGTGCTGAAGGATGACTTAGAAAGGACCAGACAAATACTAAACAAACAACCCAGTCCTTTTAATATTCGTTATCAAAGTGATTTAAAAGGAAGATAAGTAATGAAGGACGTTGAACAAAATACACACAAAAAAACCACAATTGAAATTTCCTTGGATTCAAAATCCATGCCTGTTATCATTTAACGTGAAGCTCACTGTATTGCGAATTTAAAGCTATTCATTTTTAATTAGCAGCAGAATTCATCAATAGTTACTTTAATAGTCTGAATCTCGATATCACAATGAAACCTTATATGCTTGTAGATTTATTCACGATAACTAACTGAGCTTCAGGACAAAACTTCTCTTTGTGTCTATTTAGGTCAGTTACAGCTTAAATTGACGTAATTTAAACTTACAGTGAAAAACATTCTTCTTGTCGATACAGGTCATTCACTGGTCAAGTTGACCTTACGAAAGTTTGCCTTCGAGCAAGTTCAACAGGCATATCTAGACCTACACTTACATACGGGATTACATCAGCTGTCTGTATCTAAATAGGAGAAATTCTTTTTAAATCAATGTATCCACGTTGTAAACTAGTATGTTGATGTATAATGTATGTGTTGTATATTGTCAATTTAACCATGAATATAACAGTAGCATCAATGTCGTTACCTATATATCTGATATTCACCCCCATACATGTAAGCACTGCGGTGTGCTTTTGCATGCAATAATTATTGAGAAATATTTCATTTCAATACTTAACGAAAATACTTGGTTACGACAGTATGGCCTGGTATATATTTTGTCGCATGTAGCATTGACTTGAACATGAAATCTTTGAAACATAACTGTTTGGTTTTATTATACAACTTTGATATCTTGAACGAGTGTTTCAATAAAATGCAAAGAATAGCACAAAGCAATAGTGTTTTTCTTCATTTATTTACCAAATTTTGCTTGATATTACTCATAATCACATGTCATTGTTTTAAAAAATCTTAACTTAAAATTAATATGTACAAAGAACCTCACTAAAATGACGATTTCACAAATGGAAATAATTTAAGATCCAATAGACATGTTAATTTCACAGGTTGAAGTGATGAAAACAACTATAAAATGACGTTTGTTTTCTTTATAGTAACCCGTACCATCGAAGAATATCTTGAATACACTACACCCGATACATATATGTTAACAGACTCAATAACTTCACTTGTGTTTCGTTATAAAGTCAAATCTCAGAGAAATCTACGCTATTGTAGAAAGTAACACTTTGATGTCCATTAATCTTCAAACTTAATTGCTTTGACGAAAATGACATCATCAGTAGACATGACCAACAGGCTATTGCCACTGTACGTGACTCAAAACAATTTATGTGAATGCCTCTTTAACTGGGTAAAGGAACTCATCAAATCAAAATATATAATTATCATCGTCACTTTGATTAAATATTTGTCAACGCCATTTTCTATAGAAGTGTTTTCATATTCAACTTGTAAATCACATCTCGCGATGTATTATGGAATTATGACTGCTTATCCTGAAAATACTGACAAGGGAACAATCTTTTCTTGCGTCATATTGTATATTTAAAGGATAATACTCTAAGTTAAAAAAACAACTAAAAAAAACTCTCCTTTGCGATTATATCGCATACAGTGGTACACTGTACCTTAAGTAAAATCTTCAAATTAATCTTTTTGAAATTTAAGTGCAAAATATTTACATTTTTCATCCACTACGTCAAACGTTATCATATAAAATAACTTTATTCTTGTATCTGATTGTCTGATTCTCACATTTGAGACTTAACCGTTAGCATCAAAAAAGTGACATTTGCCTTAGAACCATTTGTCTCCGCTAGGTTGCGCTTTTTTATGCAGTTCGATGTTCGTACATGTATATGTACAGTTTAATACATTACAACAAGAAAACGGGTATTTTTTATTAAAAGGCACCGAAACTCCGCGGAACCTATCTTTAACAAAATGGGTCTTTTGAATTTGTTCGGTGGGTGTTGAATTCAAGATGCATCCATTTTTTCTTTGCTCGTACGTTTTAACCCATTTTTGCATGTACAGTCATTTTCCTGTATCCATTGGATAATTTGCACCCGTGTCATACATTTCTCGAGGAATCAGCACCGTGAATGAGTCAATAAATGTAGCGAATTTGACAAGGTTCTATCGATATCACATCACGAAACCAATGCCCGTGCATGTATAAAAATAACACAGACTTATTCATGGAGTGTGTTCCGATACAACTGCTACGAACTTGATAAATGAAGGCGCTTTTGGCTGGCATATTTTGTCTCTCAGGACCTGTACAACCGGTACGAACTCGATAAAGGAAGGCACTCATGGCTGGTGAACACACATTTCACGGGACTGGTACGACCGATACGAAGACTATAAAGGAAGGCATTCATGTCTCGTGAACACACATTTCACGGGACTGGTACTGGTGAACACACATTTCACGGGACTGGTACGACCGATACGAACACTGTAAAGGAAGGCACTCTATGCATTGAGCAGTGTGAATATTTTTTCTTTGTCCACATCCTGTTTATTCTCAGTCTTTTTCTTCTTTTTGTGTGTAATCTCCGGGTATGGTATGTTGTAGAAAGTTGAGTTATTTAACATATCTTCGCTCTCGTTTTCCTGAAAACAATAAAGAATTAACATTATCTGTGAGTGTCCGGCGTGAAAAAAGAACGACTTTCTTCTCCTCGAAAACTACTCTAATAAAACAATACAAATACATGCACTTGACATTCGTCATGAATGTTAACTTTGAGTGTTCCATACCTTATTATTATGCAAAATTTGATAACACATAATGCATACTTACAAATGTGTATCGCATTTTCTGTTACCTTTCTTTCTCAGTCCCCTTTTATCAGAAGATATCATTCAGAGGCATAGATATAGCCCTTACTCGGAGTAAATTATTTAGGAGTGGGGCCAGGGAGGACCCTGGTAGGGGGACCAGACGCCCCACATGTTCAGATGGCATATATATAGCTGTATTTACGGTATGTCAAGTGTTATTAGTATGTCGTCATAATTGTTACACTGGATAGCATTGACCCTAACTGGACGCATGGCTTTTCTATTCGCCCTTCATTGAATCTGTCGTTTGGCATGCATATTGCTTTGAATGGCAAATGAAACCTGATTATAGTCGTGTGGTTTTATGATGGTGGGATGGTGTCACTGTGGCGCTCCCAGTACAGTGGTTTGATACTGATGGTGATGTAATATGGTGGTATGATACTGATGGTGCGGTGATATGATGGTGATACTGATGGTGCGGTGATATGATGGTGGTACTGATGGTGCGGTGATATGATGGTGGTACTGATGGTGCGGTGATATAATGGCGTGATACTAATGGTTTGGTGTTATGATACTGATGGTGCGGTGATATAATGGCGTGATACTAATGGTGCGGTGATGTGATGATGTGATACTGATGGTGCGGTGAACATGATGTGGTGTTATGATACTGATGGTGCGGTGATATAATGGTGTCATACTGATTGTGCGGTGATATGGTGTTCTAATTCTGACGGTGCAGTGATATGGTGTTATGATACTGATGGTGTGGTGATATAATGGTTTCCTACTGATGGTGCGGTGATATGATTGTGGTACTGATTGTGCAGTGATATGGTGTTATGATACTGATGGTGCAGTGATATAATGGTGTCCTACTGATGGTGCGGTGATATGATTGTGGTACTGATGGTGCGGTGATATTGTGGTGTGATACTGATGGTGGTGTTCAGTACCTGACGCCGTGAAGATCGTGTACACGCCCGAAACACAGCCCGAAACAGCTCTATAATGCACAGCATCCATATGGCCAGATACAAGTAGATAAGCGCGTGCGCAGTGTCAAGTGCTGAGTACAGCGTGCTACAGTCCACTGCCGACGTTATGCTCTCACTGGGGGAAAAAATAAAATAAAATGTAAACGTTTTATTTGTTAGAGAAGTAAGTAACAGATTATCTACATACACCTTCTGTCAAAGGCATGTTCATGATACCAAATGTATTCTATCGAAAAACTGTAGTTCATTGGTTTGTTATTTCATATAGTATCACAAGGAAGCCTTGTTAGGTCTAACTTGTATTTATGTCCGATCTCATAGCTACGAGACAGATACCTATCTCGGAGTTATGTCATCAATGAACACATCTCGTAGATAGGAGATGTTATCTCGTAACGATGAGAGACATATATCATAGTTACCAGAAAGGAAAATATACCAGATGACCATAATTGGATTACGTAGTATGACCAACCACATCTGATAGAAACAAGAAATTTTACCAATACTGAATATCTTTTATATATTTTAATGAAAATGCCTAGTGAAATGGTCAATTCCATTGTACAATACTCTTTGCAATACTTTGGACCTTGTATCTTTTCCCTTTTATATCATTTTCATTTTTATCACTGTGATTTTTGGACCATTAAGTATAGACAAATACAAAAAGAGCCGCTTTAATGTTTCAGCCAATCAGAGGGAAAAAGGACCATCTTGAATTCCAATATTTGAAAGTAGTATTTTAATTCAAGGAATATCCCCTTCTGTATCACAGCCATAGATCATCAACAAACTCGGCCACATATACCTCAAGCTATACGCACTATTGTCTTAGCCGATTAGAGGGCATAACAGCCCTCTTTAATCCCAATTTTTCTTAAGTCGGCCTTTCATTGAGAAAGAATATTCCCTATGTATCATTCCCACAGGTTATCATCAGAGTCAGCCCCATAAAACTCAAGTTACAAATGTATAACCATTATTGTCTTAACTGACCAGAGGCCACGGTAGCCATCTTGAATCAAAAAATTAAGAATTGGTGAAAACTTGTTAAAACATACCTTGAAATTAACAAGTAGAAAAAGGTCAATAACATGAGAATAAAATAAATATCAAGTGCACAAATTACATGATGTACCGATCACTCATGTGAAGTTTTGTTGAAATCAGCTTATACATTTAGGAGGAGGTATCCAGAAAATATTTCAACAGAGGACAGACAGACTGGCAAACAGACGAACAAGTTGATTCCAGCACACCCCTCTAACGTTGTTGCGGGGTACAAAAACCTTTAGGGCACAATCAGTCAGCCGTTGGTTTCGAGATTTTACGGTATCCTCGTCCTGATACCGAGTTTTCCTGATCAATAAGGGTCTACCGTACACGGAGTTTTCTGATTGGCAGGGTCTACTGCTTGAATGTTATATAGAAGTTTTCTGATTAGCAGGGTCTACTGCTTGAATGTAATATAGAAGTTTTCTGATTGGCAGGGTCTACTGCTTGGATGTTATATAGAAGTTTTCTGATTAGCAGGGTCTACTGCTTGAATGTAATATAGAAGTTTTCTGATTAGCAGGGTCTACTGCTTGAATGTAATATAGAAGTTTTCTGATTAGCAGGGTCTACTGCTTGGATGTTATATAGAAGTTTTCTGATTAGCAGGGGCTACTGCTTGGATGTTATATAGAAGTTTTCTGATTAGCAGGGGCTACTGCTTGGATGTTATATAGAAGTTTTCTGATTGGCAGGGTCTACTGCTTGAATGTTATATAGGAGTTTTCTGATTAGCAGGGTCTACTGCTTGAATGTGATATAGAAGTTTTCTGATTAGAGGGGTCTACTGCTTGAATTTTATATGGAAGTTTTCAGATTGGCAGGGTCTACTGCTTGAATGTTATAATGAAGTTTTCTGATTAGCAGGGTCTTCTGCTTAAATGTTATAATGGAGTTTTCTGATTAGCAGGGTCTTCTGCTTGAATGTTATATAGAAGTTTTCTGATTAGCAGGGTCTACTACTTGAATGTTATATGGAAGTTTTCTGATTAGCAGGGTCTACTACTTGAATGTTATAATGAAGTTTTCTGATTAGCAGGGTCTACTGCTTGAATGTTATAATGAAGTTTCTGATTAGCAGGGTCTCTGCTTGAATGTTATATAGAAGTTTTCTGATTAGCAGGGTCTACTGCTTAAATGTTATATAGAAGTTTTCGGACAAGCAAGGGTCTTATGTACGCTATATAAAAATATTCCTGAAAGGCAAAAGCCAAGTGCTCGTTATATATAATTTTCCGCTTCAGCAAGAATCTACTATTATCTACTTTTCCGGATTAACGAGTGTCTTGTACATTATATAGATTTTCTTCCTGGAAAACGAGGGTTTGTTGTTTATAAAATAAATGTTTCCGAGTTAACGAGGGCCTATGTATGTTGCATTGAGGTTTCTGTATGGTAATTTCCGTATTAACGCAGTAGTGCTGTGTAGAGTTTTCCGGATCATTAAGAAACTGCTACATGTATATATAACTTTATTTCATTAGCTCTATAGTCACTTTTGGTTATCTACATAAATAGGTTATTGCTATTTAATTGTTAAATGGCTGCGAACGCTACATCTGCATGTACTTACGGAAGATTGATGACATCTCTTTCACTGAAATACAAAATTAGTACAGTGACACGTATATAGAGGATATATATATATAAATAATATTTAATAACTATCTGTATGATATAGTTTCTTCTTCGATATAAAATATACAATAATAGAGTTCATGGTATACTTAAATTACGGAAATTAACAACTAGCATGTGACTTTTATATTATTTTACTGTCTGGAGCCCTTTTTTTCAAACCCTCAAATATACCAGCCTCATTAACCAGGTTAATGCAGTACCAAGTCCGTCAAAAAAGTGCGAATCGAATCTAATAAGGCAACGTATTTAAATTTGTCTAAAGGGCCGCAACTCTGACTAACTTTGCGAATGATCTCATATTAAGCTAGCACTACTGTATCAGGATACGTGTTTAATCATGTCTCAACCACTAGGACAATAAGAGTCTAGTAGCGTGTTTTTTTTTTTATCCAGAAGTACAAGGCAGTCAAGTGCTTTTATAAATTACATTGACCTATATACGACCCATTTAATAAAGTTCTTGTACTAACAAAACGGTTTGGCACTCACTTGAATCAGCGAGTAAATACTCCTTTATAACAATATTGACATTGTACTTAGGCCAATATATCGCACCAGAAGTGCTGCTACAATTATATTGTCGATATTGAAATTCGTCCCTGTATTGTGTGTTTTATCGTGGAATTAGTTCGTGTTTTGTGTGTTTTATCATGAAAAAATTCGTGAAGTGGTCGAATTTTGTTTTGTTCCCTCAAAATATGACGACGGTATACATTAAATATGAACGATTACCTGTTTAAGATTAATAAATTGTATAAAATCTTTCGGCATATATTCTACAATCAATGAAACGGTCAGTGTTAGGTGTACGGAATTAAACATCCTATTTTTAAGTAACGATTTTATTGTTCCTCGTCTCCTTTCTACTACTTCTCCCGCTGTTTTGATTTTTGTTGATTAATCGACAACATTAAATAAAGAAATAAAGAAATCGATCAAAGTCAATCTCTGTCATGATTATCTTGCTTCTTTATTTCTAGTTTGTCTTGACCATGTAAACATAGACATGTGTCTGTCGAAATGGTTGTATTAATGCGTACAGTGCGGTGGCTGACTTTCAGCACTGCCACTGGCAAGCAGCCTCAGTGCTGTGAAAAGTGTGCGTATGTCTTCTCTGCCAGTAATAGCCTCTCATACAGCAAGATCAATGTGACCATATTTGAAATCCTCCTCGAGGTGGCATACGGTTAACTGGGTACCTCACGGTCTCAGGGAGAACCACTTGGTCTCAGATGAGTCTAGGCACCTAGATGCACGGCATGCATGGCCCACCGGTGTGTAGATATGCCCCGATACCTGCAAACCTAGTTCGCAGCCATGGATGAAATAGTCCCACTGGCTTGTGGGTGACGCAGGAAAGTCAAAGGCTATCGATTATGGGATGGAAAACCCCAACAGAACATCCCGACCCTTCACGTGAAAGGTTTAGCTTAGGGTTAACATTCCTAACTAGTAAAACAAGTTTTGTTACAAAAAAGAACACAGAAACAAATCCTCTTACTTGCCAAAGACTTGAGATAGAGGTGACAACAAAAAACCAACCACGAGGACAACACATGACGCGAAGGCCGATGAAGTTGTTCTCAGCTAAACAACCTACAAACATTGGCACATGGAATGAAGTCTGCAGGTTGCCAAAGAAATGGACAAATGTAAGCTTGAAATTCTAGGACTCGGCGAAGTACGATGGAATGCATCTGGCATGACAACACTTACTTCTGGACATACCATCATCTACTCTGGCAACCCTAATGTCAATGACATCCATGCCAAAGGTATTGGATTTGTTTTTACCAAGAAAGTAAAGAGATCTCTGCTTGAATGGAACCCTGTGTCAGCCAGAATCACCACCTCAAGGTTTGACACACACTTTTAGAAGACAACAATAACTCAGGTTTATTCACCAACCAGCAATGCAAGCGAATTTTACGACTCATTACAAACAATTGTAAATTCGACACCAAAACATGACATCCTCATGATAATTGGCGATCTGAATGCAAAAGTAGGTGCAAGTAGAAATGGTAGAGAGAGAAATTGGGACAAATGGATTGGGCAAAATGAACGAAATGGAGAGCTTTTTGCGGAATTTTGTTCAGTCAATAGTCCTGTTATAGGAGGGTCACTTTTTCACTGAAAATTAAATAGACCACATTGCCATAGCACAAAGGTGGAGATTGTCACTTCAAGACGTACGGAACAAGAGAGGAGCCGATTTATCATCTGACCATCATTTACTCATGGCCAAGATACAAATGAAACTTCTATCTACAAAAAAAGCAGAAGAGATCAGAAGAAAACTACTAAATAGCACTTCAGAACAAGTTCAGTATACTAGAAAACCTACAGGATGACGACACGAACATCAGCACAGCCTAGGACGTTCTAGAGACTCCATTCTCCAGTCATGCGAGGAAAATGTAGGCTACCTCCAACAAAACCAAAAGAAATTAAAGAAACTTGGCAAAAAGTTGAACAGAGACGAAAAATGAAAGAAAAGGTGTTTAATGCAACAACCAGACGACAAAAGAAACTAGCACAAGAATACAAGTATACATGTCTAACATCTAGATCAAGAAGCACATATTGCATGTTGTAAAGGAGATGTTAAAACCCTCTTTAATACATGTATAACAAAATTGGTTAGCGGGAAATCAACAACCACAAATATAGCCAGTCGGAGATACAAATGGAAACATGCTTTCACAATTAGAATACCAACTTGACCGTTAGAGCGAACATTTTCATCAGGTGTTAAACCGCCCTCCACCTGTAGACCTACTAGAGTTAGAAGCTGGATCACCAGTGAATATAAGAACCAGTTACATCATGGAAACATAAGTTATCGAAGCCATCAAAAATATGAAAACTGGTAAGGCAGGTGGCATTGACCATCAAAGCCTTAGATGACATATCAGTGAAAAAATTACAGAAACTACTGAATAATATCTGGGGAAACGAACAAATACCAGATGATTGGCGGAAAGGGCTACTTGTAAAAAATCCTAAGAAAGGTGACAAGTCTCATTGTAATAACTGGCGAGGCATCACTTTAATATCATCCCCAGCAAACTTCTGTGCAGTATCATCCTCTACAGAATTAAAAACGAACTTGACAAACAGATGAGAGAAGATTAAGTTGGTTTTAGGCAAGAAAGATCATGTGTCGACCAAATAGCAACACTGCAAATAAACTAATGAATGGCAAACACCTTTATACCTTAACTTTGTTGACTTCCAAAAGGCATTTGATAACATCGACCATCAAGTTCTATGGGACATACTCAAACATTATGGAATTCCTGACAAGATCATAACATTGTCATTCCCTGTGACAACTGGGGTTAGACAACGTTGTCTTCTCTCTCCTCTCTTTTTTCTATAAGTAGATGACTGGGTCAGTAGAACAGCATACAGTGATCCAAAAGGCACCAGATGGACTCAACATCATGCCTAGAAAGACCTTGAACTTGCAGATGACATAGGTACACTATCCCATCGATTTCAAAACGCACAACACCAAGCAAACAGCATTGAATCAAAAGCTAAAAGAACATGTCTTTATATAAATCCACAGAAAACAAAATCTATGAGAATAAATGCAAACCAACAAGACCACTCTAAGATCAACAACATAGACATTGAAGACTTAAAGAATTTCACATACCTGGGTATTATAGTTAGCCCAACATGTGGTACCGATGAGGACATTGCTGCCAGAAAAAGGAAAGCACAACAGGCTTTCTCAATGCTTTGGCCTGTTTTGGGAAGCTGTTCATTGCGAACCAGCAACAAAATTAGAATCGTTGAAACCAACGTTAAGTCTGTACTTTCCTTCTGGTCAGAAACTTGGAGAGAGTCAGTAGCTTCAGTCAACTCAATTCAAACCTTTGTGAATAGATGTCTAAGAAACATCCTTGGCATTCGGTGGCCTAATACAGTCTCCAATAAAGAACTCTGGAAAAGGACTAAACAACCGCATATAAAACAAACAATCATATCTAGAAAGTGTAAATAGATTGGACAAGTTACAGCAACGTTACAAAACAAGTTATAGATTGAAACCCTGAAGGACATCGAAAGAGAGGAAGGCCAGAGAACACCTGGCGAAGGGGACTAACAACGGAATTGAAAAAGATTGACAAGACATGGAAAGAGACAAAGACACCACAATGGACAGAAAGGCACTGTGGTCACCCTTTGTCCCCATTGGACGAAGTGGAATAAGTCAAGTAAATCAAGACAGTCGTGAAATATATATTATACAGCTATACTCAAACATAGATAAAGCTAAATATACGGTAAAGGATATTAGATTATCATTAATAAACGATAGGTTTCCTCTGTGTTTCGGTATTTCCAGTATTAAGGACAAATTTCTTCTTCTTATGTACTAAAAAAGGATACATTGCATATGAATAATATAACATAATGCAAAAATACGATCTGGTTTCGGTGCTCTTCAAAACCCGATCCCGCGAGCTATAAGTTACATTTACTTGTTTTGGACCAAAATCCAGCCTGAAACGATTTATTTTCAATTATTACATAATTTATATTTGAAAGTTTCTTTCTTTGGTTGATTTGAAAAAAATACCAAAATGTTAAATATAGTTTTTAATGAAAGCCAGAGGAAACCTGAGCTATCATTTTTATCTTTGGTGTAAAAAAAATATAGGCGGATAGTCATTTAAGTCTACCTAAATACACGTGCGTTATATCGCTGCAATAGTTTACAATGGTTATTATAACATACCTGCACGTGCATACTGAAGTGATGTTAGAAGGGACACAATCGTCATATTCGGGAAGGTAGACGGTGTCTTTCAGCGCTAGGAAGGCCGTAAGGGTTGCAATCATCATGATGCTCTCAATTGATATCTGTAGGTTTGTCTGAAACGTTGAATAAATGTTGGGTAAGAAGCGCATATTTTGAACGATCATCGAAGTTATTGACGGAATAGATAGGTATTGAAGTCAATTGTAGATTTGTTTCTGGTACATTTTTTTTATTTCAACATACCGTTGCAAAACAAAACAAAAAGGAGAACTATCGTCATTCTATCTTTTTAAAAACTCCTCAGATCTTAGCAGCTTAGACGACCGGGTTATTCACAATATCTATACCACTTTAATTAAACAAATGCTTTGTGGCAATGTTTGAAAAGTGAGACCTGGGAATTCGTTATGTAGTATTTTGGATCCGGGTTTCTCTGCGTACATATATATGATGAACTTGCACATACATGGTTTATGTGCATCTTATCATGGCACTTCTATCTCCATTTAAAAATATGTCTACAGTGAAAGCATGTAATTATGCATTTAAGTGTAGTCCCTATACTGTGATATCGCTAATTCGATAACAAGGACTTGGCTGGTTATCCCCCCTTGCTATTTGGGATGATATATAGTTCGTGTAGCCCCAGACCACAATTTATTTCACGATATGTTCTACACCTAATCTCTACAGGTTTTGTTCAATTCTCTAGAAATATTTGTTGTGAGCTGAAAAAAAATTCATGACCGTCGTTTTTACAACATAATCTTAATAATGGCAACATATACAGTATATATCCCTATTGGAATAATGATAATTTAGTGTTGTCGGTTCAAAACTGTGTATATTCATCCATGGTTTGTTCAGTATGATGAAAATTCTGTTGCATTATGGGACACAACAAAAATTACCACATACCCAAACATATGTTGGTTTGTCGATACAGACACCATGATGTTGATATGCCAGGGCCTACAAACATATCATGTTCTTCTACCGAAATAAATTCACACAAACTAATCAATCACTCAAATTAAAGGAGAGAAAAAATCGAAATTCACTGCAGTATAACATATCGTTTCACTTTTCTCATGGCTGAAAATAATCAGAAATGTATTACTTTCGTGAACAAGGAGCCGTGAGAAATATCTGTGGACCGATGCATGTTTATGCAGCTCACTTTCGGAGAACAAATGAAATGAAAAATTTGGTGTCGTAGCAGGATATAAGTGAAGCGTGTGGAAGATAGAAAAACCTGATAATTAATCAATCAATCAGGTTTTTTTTGTTACGTGTCAAACGTATAATATGCAATTACATATGTTACAATACAATAGTGCAACCTTTAAATGAGTACAGCTATGAATGGCCTACTGAACACCTTAAAAGTCAATACAAGTCTGCAACGTCCTTGTGCATTTGCAAAAACATCATTACAGTATACCCCTGCAGGTCGGGGATCGAGAAAAGAATAACACTGCTGTTGCCCAGTGCATGTATCGTAAGAGGCGACTAATGTTGGAACCCCTGCAGAATTTTGGATCTGCTTTTGTGCTCTCTACTTGAGGACACAAATGGAACCAAAATCAATCTGCTGCACCCTTTATACTTTTAACTACCTTTTATTTCCTAGCGCCTTGCTTGGCTTACGTTTGGCTTTAATGTTGAACTTTCGCCCGGTTGAGGAAGACAATGGATTCTGTCCCCGGGCCGGGGCATATCAAAGTCCTAAAAATGGTAGATGTTATTCCCTACAGAACGTTCAGCTGTTTAGGGTAATGGTAACAACTACATTTAGTTCACCCGTTGTCAGTATAATGTTACCGGTTGGAATGCTGTGTTGGGATGCCTTCGGCATGGTATTTCAGTGAGACAGCACTTTAAGTCGGCATCAGATGCGTACACAACACACATGAAGGCACGTCCTAAAATGGCATTAGACCTTAAACCCTTACAACTAACCAATCAACCAACCAACCATTGCAGTATACAATGATACCCCACGTGTATTTAGGATTGGAGATACACAAACGTTGTTGGGTAGCCCCTACCTACAAATGAATATATTCTTAACACGATACTGTATTTACGAGATAGACGTGCCTAGTCTACAACACTTGTGCTTATTATCCGCACAAAAGGTGTTTAGTATAAGATATCAGGAATCAATAGAGTTTAAATGGACAATGAGAGTTCACTTCGCCCTTCGGGGAAACAATCTGAGCCACATACACTCTAGAGCAGTGATACGGACATTGAAAAGACACCTATTATGTATTGGGAATTTGTATCATTCTTTTGTGCTCAATAAAAATAGGACATTTCATTAGGATAAGATGAAAGCTTCAATTAAATGCGACAGTTTTAATGATGACAGACATGCCCAGTGCATCGTGTATCACAAGATACAGAAAGACTGTTTACATTGCCACATCTAAATTTAAGCTGTTCCGTCATCGCCAACAGGAAGATTACAACAAAATCAAATGTAATGTAGTAACTATTCGGTTAATATACTGAACTCCAACATCAAACCCAGGTGTAACGGATCAGAGCGAAATAGCCAATAATAGCCCTAACTGTAACACAAATGCAGGCAAACAATAATCACAGGTATGATGTGTAAGGTAGCATATAAATTAAACGCTGACTTAAATCACATCTATGATTCATAAGGTAGCGCATAACCTTTACAGATAACTAAATCTGATAGAAGCTACAAGTGATTGGTAAGGTAGCACAAAACCTTAACTATAACATAAATTAATAGTAAAATGTAAAGGTTGCATATAACCTTAATTCTACCACAAATTACCTGTATAATATGAAAGACAGCATATCATCTTAACTCTAACACAAGTGGCAAAAAATTATGTGTGAGCTAGCATATAACCTTAACTCTAACACAAGTCACATATAAAATGTGTAAGGTAGCACATAACTTTTACTCGAACAAATCACAGGTATAATATGTATAGCTTTAATTACAACACAGATCACATGTATGGGTGTAAGGTAGCATGTAGCCTTAACTCTACCATAAATCATTTGCTCATTTATACACATGTAGGTTTCCTCAATGAAATGATCATAATGCCAATAAAGATACGTACCACCCAAGTTGAGTCATTATGCCTCAAAGCAAGGAGTCCCGCAAAACCAGTCGACATGAACTGTAAAGAAATATTTTATATGGTATAAGGGGCCAATATTTGAACATGGTACGGGGTCAACATGTGTATGGTGAGTTTAACATTTGTTTCTGCTGACGGCCATCATTTATACATGATAAGGGGTCAACAGAAGTTCGGTAGGGATCAACATTTTTACAAGGGGAGTGGTCAATATGTGTGGTCAATAAGTGTTGTTAAAAAAATGCTTCCATTTGTACATGGTAGAAAGTCAACATTTGTAAATGATAAGAGGTCAATAATTCCACATGGTTAGGCGTGACAACGCAATTCCGGTTTTTTGTATGTGCTCGATTTAGCTCCATTGTATCTCATTGGTAATATTATTATGCCAGAAACTGACACACAGACCGGGCATGATTATTCAAGAACTACAATGGAAAGGGACGCCTGAATTTGTGTAATTTTCTTCAGGACAGTGAACAATAGCGCTAGTTGTATCAGAAAAACATCCGCGGGGTTAGGTCACTTGATAAAGCTAAATAGCAATTTATTAGGGAATAACAAATATACATTCTCAATGTGATAATGCGCACATTCGATCAAAGGGCCGGTTTCCAAAACGGTTTCAAATTTCCTGTTGATGGTGCATTGCCCATGCCGTTGTGGTCACAAATCTATAAAGTATAAAGATTTAGGTCACTTGGTTTGTTTTTTATGGCTCCTCAAAGTTGTACCTTTCAGAAGCTGTCTAAGTGTTGATAAAATGTGCATGTTATGTAAAATATTAATGAAAATCTAATCAAATGATGGTCACCGTAAAGAATACATTCATGGCATGATTGTGACAAAAAATCATGTTTCCATCGCGCCATTTGGCTGTTTTATGGAAGAAACAATCTCAAAAATGCCATTTTCGATGATAACATTTTAGACACAAAAACTGTGTTTTTTAGAGAATACACCCTTTTATGGGCGTTGGATGCAAACCAATTTTTATCCTATTAAACAGTACGTAATATGCTATTGATGAGAGGAAAAATCATCAAAATGTAAGTGGTGGAACATTTTCAAATGTTGGGTTGAATTAGCCTATGGTTGAATTGCCGATTTTCGACTTTCTTTAGATAATTAACAAAAAAACGAGAGTATTTGCTCGGTATGTTGAGAATATGTACACAGATATGAAAAAAAGTGAGAGAAACACTTTTTCATAAAAAAAATCCAAGATGGCTACTTCACAAGTCCCCGTGGTTGAAGACATTGGCTGACAAATAGACAGAACAACAAACAAAACGTGTTCCTTATGATTTTGGTTGGTTTTCGCATTTACGGGAGTGTTCATAGCTACGGGCGATTGTATAATACCTATATTTATAAGTTTGGTTAGTCACATGGTAACGGGGATCTTTCATATCGAGCCCCAAACATACTTTCGACATATGCACTCCGTTGCCGCATGGAAAACTATTTCAAGTTTTGTCGGAATTTCTTTACCTGTGGTTGTAATGGTCGAGGGTTTTCCAGCGTCCTGTAATACCCAAGGTAGTACAAGATACTGGAGATGTGCGCACACATTCCCATCGTTCTCTCTCCAACTGGGCACTGGCAGTAGTAGTCCTTTATTGGGGCCTCAACATCGGGTGAAACGGTGAACCGTATCCAAACGTTATATTTCGTTTGGCTTTTGTGTCGAGAATGTATTTGACATCGGAGAAGGTCTGGGGAGTGCTGGTAAAGCCACACCTCATAGTCTCCGTCATCACTTAAATGTTCGGCGATGTAACCAGGAGCCAGAGATATCTGATACGTTCCACACGTAATGGTTCTCAAGTAATCAAGATCGAGACGGGGAAACAGTACGGAAGATGCATCCATCTTGACAAACTCGGACCTTGCCCGTCTAGATAGATCCGGATCTGTCTTGACTCTCTGAGCTAAACCATTCGGTGTTGTCAAACGGTCCTTCATACGTTCAGCCATTAGCCTATCTTTGGCATCTCTCTCTGGAGATCTCTGGTAGATCGGTCCTCTAATACCATTCAGACAGGCTGTGACGGTTCGAAGCAAAGCCTCGATGACATTGATAAAGCTGTTAGACACCAATTGCGTTCGGAAGAACGTCCAGTGTTTCAGACGACCATGATAGGATTCCACAATCCACCTCGATTTGGTGATAGTTCTGTCAAGATTTGCTTGGACGTCAGAATGTTGACTTTGACCGGGTTTCAGGTATGACGGCATGCTAGCATTGAGGCCAGAGGCTTCGAGAACTGGTAGGACATCTCTAAAACCTCGGTCAACGACAACGTTGTCGTCTGGTTGTAGCCAAGTAACTAGCTTGTCCATGACTTTTTTTGTAATTGTAGCATCATTTTCGCTGCCAGTGAATGGTCCTACTGTGTCCAGAATGTAGCCATCTGGTAAGGCGATGCTCATGAATTTGAGATAGTTTCTCTTCTTCTGGCCACAGTAGGACATTCTCTGGAGCTTGTGGTCGGAGCTTTTCTGGATATAAATATAGGTGCCATCTAATATGGCAGTGGCTTTATCTCCAAAAAATGCTTCTGAAAAGACAGTATTGTGCCCGAGCAACTGTTCTCTTGTCAAGTGATCCGGACCTAGAAATTGTGGGACTATCGATGTGTCTAATGCCTGTACTATGGAGTGGAAAGTTTTGGACACACTTGACTTGGAAATTCCAAAAAGAGAAGAACACTGACTCCAGGAAATGTCGGTTTTCAGTTTTACCCAGAACAGTAATAGAGCATCGTGTGTAGTCTTGGTATATATACCAGATGAAAGATATGGGGAACAGTGCGAGTGGATTTCGAGGAACTGATCTTTGGACCAACCTGTCCAGGCCATGCATGCCGAGTCATCAAGAGAAGAAAAGCTTATTGTAAACGCAGACTGGTTCTGTGAAAGGACGTGCGACACCTCTAGGAGGTCATTAATGATTTCGGACGATTTTGATGGTAACTGAGATTCCAAGGAACCTCTACCATCAAGGACAACCTCTGTAGACGGATCTAAGTCGTTACCAATAAGGTGAATGGAGCAGACGCGGGATGAGGTGGGACACCACAGTTTGTGTGAATAGATCAGGTGATGTCTTGCACGTTTTGGTAAGACTGATGATTTTGTTCCATTTCTTGCAAAGGTAACAAGACAGAGACAGCATTTTTTGTGTGAAGATGATCCATTCAAAAGATCATGAAGGGTCAGCAACGGCAGGATATGGGACGGGGAGTCGTCTTCTTCCTCTATTTCCTGGTTCTGCTCGGGTTCAGGTTCAGGCTGATTTTTGTTCCGAAGATACTTCATGTAGCACTTCTGGCAAATAAGTGCTTGTTCCTTTGCTGACATCAATCCTTGTTGCACCAGCGTATCTAGGAGCCATTTATATTGTGGACTATTTACATTGCGTGCACTTCTGTTCTTATTGCCACTACGTTTCTTGAAGTATACTTGACACCCTTCTCCAACACATTTACCCTCCATCTTGAAACAATAACGATTGGTTTATGAAGCGTCGATAAAGTAACAAAATAGCAAGCCACCGATGATTGCTGTAAACAGCTAATACTTAGTAGTTTGGTACAATTATGCGAAAATGTGTGATAAATAACGAACAACTAATTACACAAAATAACAAGACAATATAATAAATCACATTCAATACCTCCAAGAAGCGCAGAATTGATTGATTACTTAGAACAAAATAAAGTATTTCATATGGATAATCTATCTATTCGATGTGGCGTGGTCGGCAGGCACAAAGAAAGTGAGACAAGTCAGGGTCCCAACCCTGACAGAGCCACAACGCTTTGGAGATGGGACAATAAAACAAGGAAAGTGAGACAAGAATAGCTAGCGTCGAGTCAATGATTCCGTAAACGTATAGACAAAGACAAGAAGATACGGATAAATGTACAAGGCCACACGATCAGAAAATTCAGAAGAGGACAACTTGAGATAGAACAGTATTCATGTATCAGGGTGTCCTCAGTGTAAATCTTTATATCGATACTGTTTATTTAGTCGTTACACATCATAAAACTGTCATGAAAATATCCGCTCTGATATTCAATATAAAAGTTTGTATATAATAAGCTATATAATAGGGTTTCAGACAAGGTTGTTACTCATTTCCCCTTTTCTTTCAATTTACAACCACATTCAGGCGGCGATATGAGAACGTTCCACCACATGGAATTAGCTGATTTTTGGTACACATATGAAACAAGTAAAGCTCTATCCGATTTTCTGATGGAAATTTGCATCCAAAACTATATAACGGGAGAAAATTGCAATTTTATGGCATTTTTCTTCATAATTGTGTCTCTGCAAGTGCATTTTCATCCGAGAATATTTTTTTTTATGTTTTATGAATAAACACGATGTTTTGGAAATATTTATCAAAAGAAATTTATACTATGTTGCGAATTACAATTTCGAGATAACCTTCTTTTATTTACGAACTTATGTCTTTGATGCTGAAATTGACAACTTTATAAAAATACATTTTCACTGAAATTATGAAATCTGGGTGTCGGAAAGGTGTAAAATTATTCTTCGGAAAAGAAAAAAACAGTAGTTGAGCTAGATAAGAAAGTATACGGGGGCAGGCTCCTATGGAGAATTAACATTACTGGAAACAGGCCCTTTGGTTTCTCCCTTGCCGCTAAGCAGATGACACAGGGCATATCTCAGATTTCTGCGTGGCCCCCACATAAGTTGTCTCTTGTTATTATGAGATGCCTTTTCCCCCCATTCAGGTTGAAATACGAAATGAAGTACTGATATATTTTTATACAAAAACGTTTTATAACAATCATATTTGAATTTGCTTCTTTTTTTGTTTATTTTGAAATAATATTAGACTTCATAGTTAGCTTTAATGGGATTTTTTTCCCTGTTATCCTCAGATTTCATGGATTATTTTACAGCTAAAATTTTGATGATAGAAATAACAAAGTTGTGATCGGAATGAAGTAATTTTGATGGAAATAGGAAAATCAAGATTGTGTGATTTAGATACATATTGTTTTAGACTGTTTGGTGTTATAAACAATAACTTTTTTTTTGAAAAAGTCAAAATCAGGGAGGAAGGTAAATCATTATTTTTATTCCTGCGGAACGTCTAACCCCTTAGTGTTGATAATTCAGTATTTTTCGTTAAACTTTATTACAGATGATTTGTTTGGTGAACTTTCACTCACAAAGCAAAACCATTCGATACTTGATTACATACGTGTATTAGTCTTGTTTACCTTGTGACAGTGTCGACATTACGAAACCAAATGCCGAATTTCCTGGAAACTGTGTATTGTTCGAATCAATTTCTCATACAATGGATGTTTACAGTATTATTGAATGCACAGATGTATGTGTAAGACAAACATAATTGATTTTATATGACTTTAATGCCGCTATTTCGATGACTCAGAACATACATGTATTTGTTTTGTCAGCTAAATATTATCAGTATTAACATGATTTAATTCAAATTTAACTTTCTTTCTTTTCAATATTTTATCTTACGATTCTAATATTGATTGTTTTGAATACACGAACCTAAATGTTGCCTTTCAAATTTAATTTACATAAACAAGTTTTGTGAGAGAAAACAATACACGTCTTTGTCATTAAGCTGAATAGGTTTGATAAGTACAGGATCAGAGGCTTGACTCTCTGTTCTAAGTATCGGAAAGGTCACAGGGAAAGCTGTAATTGATAACGCTGTTTGTTTTACAATGAGAAAAATTACATCAAAATCAATTTCATTTAGGTCGTGTTTCTTACTAGGTATGATTACAATACTGGGAATGCGCAAATTTTGAAAGAAGTTCTTTGATATTATCTTAGACATTCAGGAGGAAAAACGATGCACGTTCATTGTACGACCGATACTGAACGACACGTGTTTCCCGTAGTTCGTCAGATTGCGTATTACTGGGATATTAAGTTACACAAAGATTAAAATATTATCTATACATAAAATAAAAATCATATTTACCGAAACAAAGATTATACAGAAATAGTTTTAAAGCCGAAATGAGAACAGAGCAACAATTAAATCGATACGTATCGATACGCCAGAACATGGCATAACACATACCGATGCTAGAATGAATTTAACAGCATTTGAAATAAGAATACGTACTTTATAAAACAGTTTATCACACACGTATCGGTGTAGCAGTTAATCCGATAAGTACCGATACAGCATCGATACAACTTAAAGCGATAATACCGATGTAGTATCGATACAACAGGTAAAACAATTATACCGATACGACAGAAGTAAATTGAAATACGTACCGATACGCCTGAAAAAACCATGATGAGGCCTTTGATAGCTGGGTCCTGGAAGAGCGGTCCTTGAGATACGTACTCAATTAAGATACATACTGTCGTTCCTGAGGAAGAAAAATAAATTGTTTTCACAGGGACTTCCCGTGCCAGTAAACTGTCCATAGGATACATGCATTAAATATGAAATAGATATCGGTGTCATCATAAACACTAAATTATCATTTGATAAGAATATATCTGAAAAAGTAAATAAAGCTAATTCCATTATGGGAGTTCTACGAAGAACAATGGAATATGAACAAAAATATTGAGCTATTGAAACAATAGAAAATGTTCAAAGTCCAGAAACAAAGCAGACCCCTTGCCTAAACGACTTATGGTATAAGGTGTGATTAGGTAAACTAAAAATATTAACACTAGCCTACAGAAGATCCCTTGGCGACACGATATAGGTCTACAAAATATTGTCCGGGAAATATGACTATGAAGTATCCGACATATTTAATATCAAGGAAAGTTCATCTACACGTGGACACAACTTTAAAATTTACAATTCGCATTTAAGAATAAATATTAGAAAACAATCGTTAACACAAAGAACTGTTTCTTCACCTTACCAAATTATTCTAGATTTAAAGTAAACGTTTTTATAAAAAAATATGCAGTAAATTATATTACAGTACATGACTAGTTGTATGTTTTGTAATATGATTACTATTAGCAACAGAACATTGAAGGAATAAGAGTGGAAATGCAGCATGAAATCAACAGTAAAGTATAATTATGGATAGGAAGATATTTCGGCTCGTAAATTGACATTACAAATATAAATACATGCAGTTTCAAGAGGAACACAACATTAAGGTCTAGGTCAAAATTCTTTTTTATGAAATTATTTGCTATTCGACTGTTCTACAAAACTTATAACAATTTTTCTGTACTTTTCGTATCTTTGAATGTTCTTTGCCTTTTTTAAACTGGATAGTCTAAAATAAATGGTGCAAATCAATATGAATTATTAATGCTAACAATTATTTTTGACTCCATACAGCCACTGATTTGAAACATGCTTCTGATTTCTTCGGGCAATCCAGCAGATCAATAAAAATGTTTCTGACATTGCCATTTACAAGTGTTGCTAGATCAATTAAATATCCAAGATGTCCATCATGCATGGTGTCAAGTTATTGAAAACCATTCCAGTTCATATAAGAAAGAAACAGATAAGCAATATGGGTCATAACCGTCTGCTGAATGTCTTCATTGAAATAGGTACGCTTGTCCATTAGGAAACGTCATGATCACTTTTAAACAGACTTGTTTACAAAGCAGAATATTTCAAATAAAAGGTAATGTCCATTGAAAAATGGAATTGAGTAGTTTCAGATACCAAAAAGATCTATAAACTTTGTTCAGAGTTTTGAATCATCCAACAGCTAAATAAAAGAAGTTACAGGAAAAAATAGATTGAGGTCCAAAATGTCCCAATATGGAAGGCAGATCGAAATGGTTACTTATCCCTATGCAGTTGACGTCTAGATGAGTGTTATGAAATCGTCAATAATTAATTTGCAAGTAGTTCTGAGGTGCTTTGAAAACAACGAACCAGGGCAGATCCAGTGCAGGAGGATTTAAAATGGTGCTAGGTTGACTGCGGTTAGTTCGGCCTCGGGGTAAGTTCAGCCACTGCTGATATGTTTGGTCTCGAGCAACTATTTATAACTTTGAGGATCTTAGCACTGCATTATACATAAAAGCTTAGCATGGACTTTCATACTGTTAGGGTATACGGATTTAATGATATATTAATTTGGGGCAAGTTCAGCCCATGACACTTATGTTGATTCCAACCTAAGGCGAGCTTGCCCAAAGGCGGGGCACATTCGGCGATCCAATCATCCGACATGAAAAAGTGATTGGCCTTTTGTTATTATTTTATGAATGGCATGGAATGATCCTTCCAATTGGTGTAAACACACATAAATGTTAACCAATGCCATACTGTCCAGAACGAATTTGATAAATATGATCTTATATCGGCCTTGGCTCTTTCTATTAGAAACTGACATTTCCTCTCACAGAAAACCTGAATAAAGGAACAGCACCAGGGAAAATGTGCCAATTATGCGTAAAACGTTCATGGTTGTTAAAAGAAACTTAGGACCATCCCATATTCATGCATTTCAATCAATAATAAGTCTATAATTCATGAGGTTAGGTTCACACAGATTTCCAAATGCAGTAAACACACATATGATTTATCGTCTGTTTAACGAGTGTCGGCTCGGTACAAACACCTTGTACTAGCATATATAATGGTTAAGAACATTCAGTGACATCAAGATTAAGCAATGTTGTTTAACCAGCACGTGACACCATATGTAGGAACCATTGGCATTGTGTACTTCATTCAAACTGATATTGTCATTATTTCATCATACAAAACTTATTTTTTATAAAAATAACAATGATAATGATAGTGAAGATAAGATATTTTCATATATATATATATATAACACGTATTGTTTTCATTATTAAAAAAAATCACGAGGCAAAATATCACCCAAAATATATACCATTATATAATTGATGTGGCATTCTTACTATTTAACATAAAATATTGAGAAATAATTTGACCATTTGCACATTGTTTAATTTGTTTATTACAAGACCCAGTTTGTTGAAAGCTTGATCCGCTTTCCGAGTCATTAATAACAAACTCAAAAAGCTACTTTTGAGAGTATCTGAATAATATGAATATTTTGTGTTTCTCATTTACATTTACATGCAGGTTTAGTTTCAAATTTCATTCCTTTTTGGAAATATTCAGGCAAAGATTTGTGTTCTGTTATATGTAAGCTAACTATGCTTTCTACCAAAACAACTCGGTCCAGATGTTGTTCTTATATCATAGGGATTTAATTTGTGTACATATATAAGCTTTTCTTTATGGATCAAGTTCACGGAGTACAGTATGCATAAAATATTCTTCGAGAGGCTATATAAAACACGGCTTTGTGGTACCGTAGACTACATGTATACGTAACCTTCAGTCAGCATTGACGTTAATTCTCCAACAAACTAACGTTTCCTGTCGGATGATATTTTCATAATCACTGGCCTTCAACACAGAAGGCAGACGACCAATCTGAAAGGAGAACATATTCTTGGGTATCCATAGGATCATTGAAGCTGTTCCAGTTCTGAGCTTGTCAACACAACAGTTCCTCAGATTGGATTGAAGGCCGCCGACGGTGTCCCAGATCGCAAGGTGCCATTGTATAAAGATAAATAACAGTAGGATTTAAGACAACAGCAGTAAAGAGGATTAGTAAGAATCAGTCGATATTTCAACTTACCTCCACATATGATGGAACTTGACACCAGGAAGGAAACAACGGAGCACACAGTACATTTCCCCATCATGTTCCTCATACTGTTTCCTTCATCTTCAATTTCACATCTTACGACACAGGTGTTAGGTCAAAATAACGTCTCAAAGTAGACACATAAGCTCACATATGAAGATACACATGCATAAACACACATCTACATGTGCTAGAAAATGTATAAAATGATAAATCCTTGAGTTGAACTGTGACTATATGTATAAAACGAAAGCGAGGTTTTAATCAATTAGCAACTATTATGGGTGAATATCTGCTCTCAATATGTCCCAACAGCAATCTTGATTACGAACCTCTTCTTATAAGTATACAATTCAGCGCGCAAGGCTGACGATAGATCTGTATGAACTACAGAAATACAATGTGAATATTTAAACGTCGGTTTCCAAATCCGTTACTGAACTCCAGTACAATTGGTGAAAAATTCCTCTCACAAACCTCCACATAGCCCAGTTGTGTATAAATAGTATAGACTGGTCATTGATTGTATACAAAGAAAGCGTGACGCTGAGTAAATGGGATATTCAACGTTTAAAGGGCTATAAATCCAGTTTATCATGTTTAGTCAGCTTAATCAAGTATTGAACTTTTTTAAATATAGTTGTTTTAATTCTGAATAAAACGACATGCATTGATAATTTCGTGATTTATATTTGATTGAAACCGTTTTATAATCAATAAGTTAGAAAATATATTTTCAGTTTTGATAAATAATAAATAAACAGCAAGTTCAGAATGTGAATATTATTTAATTAAAGTTATTAAGCTGTTTTTGTGGTAACTGATAATTGGTATATACCAGTAAAAAGCAGTCCCTTTCAGAGCACCCGATGAATGAATTGTGTTTAGAAGTGAAAATTTGTATTTTGATACGTATAAGTATTTAATCTTAAAAAAAAACCGGTATGTTTAGTTTCAGTCTCTGTTTTATTGATAGTAATACAGGTTTTCATCGAAATTTTACAATAATGTAATGTCAAACAATTGCCGTGTTACGAGAAAATAAAAACGAAGCTGACATCTCGAAATGAAATCGTCTCCGGTTCAACTGAATATACTCTTCGGGAAGTGCATCATTGAGAAAACACTGTCAGCTTTAAAATTAATTAAAATAATAAGTCTTGAAAAGCTTTTACAATTTGTGTCGTGCCACTAAGGAAAGAAAAGAAAAAAAGCGATGAAGATGCCTTATTAACATCCTGTTGGAGCACACGTCAATACTTTGGTATCAGATATACAATTATTATTGGCGCGTTTCTCTTCGTTATCAATTTTACCGATCAAATTGAGCTGACAAATCACAGTGTCCTTGGTGCGGGATGTCTCCGGTACAATACACAAAGAAGACAAAGGAAACCAGCTGTTACTTCCAGATTTCAGCTGGTTTATTCGGCGTAATAACCTATGTCAATACATCAGAACTTACAAATGTTTTCATTCTGTGCGTCGGTACTCCCAGATACTTATATATAAATTCAAATTTTAATAGGATTTTATTTCTCATGTGAAAAGAAAGGCAAAACAAGATCGATCCTTAAAAGCTGGAACAGATGGTCTTAAATTGTCCTATTATAAGTTATGACGTATACTTTTATTCAAATTGATGAAGATATCGTTCAGATATGAGACTACTGAAATTATAGAATTAAAAACAAAACGTGCATCCTTTTACGTGTCGGCCATCGTGTAAAATTCTAAATATTTTTGACAAACCCTAAAGTAGAATACAATAGTTGAAAAGGTAACTCATTTCAAACATTAATAAATGCACAAAACATATAGCAATGATGTTTATTCAGTATACAGCATAATCTAAACAAGCTTTGATATTTAAATTTCCATTAAAACTCGAGAGGACATGCTAAACAATGTCCAAATGTAATATTTTTCTTAGGACGCATGAATATATTACATGTGCAGGTTCTGAAAACTTGACAATGGGACTACAATTTCCCACTGCATGCTCTTCCAGTTTCACGGTATTTTTGTCCCTACAAAGGGGACTTCGAAAAATCAGAACGGATCGTCTGACCCACATTCCAGCATTTGGTATGTTATAGTTTCTTTTTCTGTATCGTTTATAATCCAAAGTCATCTATTTCGGCGCACTAAGTCTTATAGTTTAGTCTTTCTTCGCAAATATGGCCCAAGCTCGGGTGGAATTTTTCACCAAAACCTTTTGGTATCAAGAAAATTATCTAAATCACTAATTTGACCAACTTTCAAGTGTAACGTAAAATTGACTGTAGGGAATTTAAAGCAAATGAAAATCAAATAATGTACATTCTCAATATAGATCTGCGGAAGAAATTGCATTGACGATATTGCACTGACAAAATATAGAACTTTCAATATGGTTTCAAGGCAGTCTCAAGGGTAAGATTTTGGCTTACGTTACGTTAAAGATAGAGAATTTGCTAGACTATTTGTTTATCTCAAAACCAACATTTGGTTACGACTTAATAATTTGAAGATGGTATTTGTTTTTAATTTTTATGAGGCTAAGGTACTGTCGCGCACAAAAACATCAACCTTCAAAATTGGAAAATATGGCTGATTTAAAGTTATTTTTTCTCCAAATTAAACGAAACATGTATTTCTGTAACTTGTTTTTTTTTAAACGGGAATAAAGGCTTTAAACCATTATTCTCATCTGTACATGCACCACTAGTGAAAATTATTTTTTTGGTAAGATATATTGACTAGTATATCAAAATTCTTACGTTGAAATCTTCAAATTTTGACTGTAGGCATTTATTTGTTTTTTTAAAGGATTAAAAAAGTGTTTTACAAGAAAAGCCGTTAAAATTGTACTGGCAATGAAACTTTTACTTCTATATAAATTTCTGCTTATTTTAAAATTCGGAGTAATTGGTTTACCTTAACTTCCTTAAATTTAAAGAGTCTTATAAAGATGTTCATGTCTGTCAAAATATTTAGTAATTGGACAAAAGACAAAACAATTATACACATTTTGTTGTTACAAAATCATTGATAATTTCTTATTGTTCAGTCAAAATTGCACAAAGCGAGATTTTGGACATCCTGACTTCCTCCCTTATTTTAAGATAACTTAACCAAAAAGGCATTTCTGCTAAGAATTCTATACTTAGAACAAAAACGTTTTAACATTTATTGCTGTTATTTTATTTCGACTTACCTTGAATAAATGGGCATATCGTTAAATTTGGACTTAATATAGCTTCAAGTCAGCCCTGCCGGCCAACTGAAAAGTTTATAATGTTTATTGCTTGAAAGCTACATCGGTCATGTTTGATTATTAAATACAAATATATGTTAATCTCAACTAGGCATCAATCAAAATTTGTGTTGAATTTACCTTACAGTATTTCTATCGACAAAATTGAAAAGAAAAAAAGAAAAAACCCATTTTAACCATATTGATAATGCTATTTATTTCCATTAGAGTGATTCCGATGCAGCAATCAATATTCTACTTTAGAAGGTCTTGAGATATTTTAATTGTCAATACTATAAACAGCACAAGATGTTGACATCACACTTCTTCATCAAATAAGTTGACCCCAAAGAGGATGTGATGTAAAACATTTCCCCCAAGATTTATTTTTAGAAGAAACGCAGTTGCAACTAGCTGTGTGTTAAACCGTATAATTACTTAACTATTGCTGTTGTACGCATAATTTACCCTTTACCGGTGTATGACCAAACCAGAACATCTTAACCATCTCTTTCATATCATAGGCGATCAAACATCGCAAGGGTGAATAACTCTTACTAGCAAGCACAACTGTTGTACAGAAGCTGCTTATGGGAGGTCTTATCTTACTCACATTTTTGGACAGATGGTATATGTAATATTTACTCACACACTCCCGTCGGCCGGTATTTAGGGACGAAATATCGGCAAAACAGTTAACAGTTTGGTAGGATATTGTTCTTTACAACGGGGGTCAGCAGCACTCAAAATAAACAAACAACCTCAAATATTATTTCATGGTAGGTACACGTGTTAATAGATAATTTAGTTCACACTTTAGATTACATCATTTTTTTTTAATTGATCCATTGCAAAAAAAATATCCTATGTCAAACGGATTCCTTTACATATTCCTTGTATGTAACCTTTAGTTCTGTTGGCACATCTTCATTGCTGTTTAACATATCGGTTATACGTACCTTGTTAGGGTTGGGTATTCATAATTTTTTGCCGGAGTGATAGTTCGATCTGGAATTTAAACAATATTGAGACAGATATGCTTAGTGACTGTTTGCTAGTATATTGTAGCGCCTTATGTTGCTAATATACTACCATGCTCATGAGAGCATTTGTAAATTGCCATTTGAAGATAAGATTGTAGCCAGAGTGAATATTTTCCATTTGTCTGCTGTATGAATGCATCATGTCAGTGTTAAATATGAACCCAAGTATAACTAGAACACTGGCAGGTCAGTAAGGGCCCCGTCTTGTGGCAATATATCCCCCATAATCATCAAGAAGCAATCTGCCCATATACATGTAGTTGAGCTTGACGTTTGACATTTGGACTTCAAAAAGAATCACAAGAAAGCAAAATATACATGTTACATGTACTATGATGTGAGTCTTGTTTCCTTCCTCCTCCATATTTGCTGGGCTAACAGTAATGTAAATACCGGTGCAATACTCATTTGTTAGCTTTGATTTGTGACCAGTGACCCTGATCTTTGGTCAGTTGATTTATTCTTTAATTCCGATCAACATTGCTTCATAAAGTCATAACAAAATTTTCATCAGGAAAAAAGTACAAAATTTAACCTTCACCTTTAACCCCATGACCTTGACTCCTTGTTTAATTTTGAGCAACATTGCTTCAAAGTGTCATTGCGAGATGTTCACCAGTGAAAAGATGCAAAATTTGACCTTGACCTTTGAATCTAATTACCTTGACCTTTGACCTCGACTTTTTACCTCAGTGTGTCTCTTTGTTTAATTACGAACAACTTTGCTTCATAGTGTCATAGCGAAATGTTCACCAGTGAAAAGCTACAAAGTTTGACCTTGACCCCTGACCCGATGACCTTGACATTTGGTCAGTTGACTCATTGTTTAATTCTGATCAACTTTGCTCCATAATATCATAACAAAATGTTCATCAGTGAAAGGATGTAAAATTTGACCTTGACCTTTGAACCTTATGACCCTTACCTTTGACCTTGACTTTTTACCTTAATGTGTGTTTTTGTGAACTGAACATCTTGACCAAGTTTCATGTACATCGGTCAATTAATACAACAGTTATCAGCCAGGAACAAAATTTGTGGACGGACAGACAGACAGACAGTGATTACTATAGGGCACCCGTATCTCTGATACGGGGCCCTAATTAGGATTTCACCCCAAAGGAGATGTTGTGTAACATACAACCCACCTTATTAGTTGCCCTCGCTAAACATTCTAAATTACAATATAATATAATTTACTAATATTGGATATAAAGCCGTATTCATAACAAAAACATCATTAACCATCATATTGAGTATGAATTCTAAACATTCTGTATTACAATAACATCATTTACCAACATTGATAATGAGCATCCATTATATGTGACAATAGCCTCATTGACAAACCATTGGTATATATTTCGAATCCATCATGGAAATAACCTGTTTTATAAATATTGAGTATGGATCCTACACAATAATCTGACAATTGTTTTCTTTATCAAAATAAGGTACATTTTTTAACATCACCAATGACAACAACGCCCTAGACAAGTACCAGAAATAGGTTCTGAACATTTTATACGACAATAACGCCCCAAACTTACACGGAGCATTGCTTCTGGATATTACCTATGGCAATGACGTCTAGAACAAGATTTAGTGTAATTCATGAATTTCCTTGCCGATGACGTAAAAGGAAGTGAATTCTAAACATCATGTGGACATTTTATCTGACAATATCGACCTTGTGGTATAAAATCTGAACATTCGCGATAAACTCAACCTTTAATAATATAGCGTATTAAATCCCCACATCGGAAATTAGAAATTCATTCTGAATACTCTATACAAAAATATCATTCACAACAAAAGTCGGATATGGATTCCGAACATTATATATGCCATATAGAATGTTCAGAATCCATGTCAATTACCAATATTGATAAATGACGTTGCGTTATTTTTCAACATTGATAATTGAATGTGAAATTCTTCGGAAAAATCTCCTTAATCAAAATTGGGTATGGATTCTGATCACTAGCTACAACATCATTTAATAGCGTTGGGTATGGATTTTGAACATTCTCTATGACAAATAACCATTTACATGTACCAGCATTTGATATAGACCGTTGATATGAACACAGACTAATCTACATGAACACAGCACAAATTATAACAGTAAGTATGGATGATGATCGGGTGAATATTGTTAACTCTTGTTTAGCAAGAACTTCCTTTATGAACTACAAAATGGATTCTAAAAAACATGTTCCTAATACAATAACATTATTTACGAACTAAGGAAATGGATGCGGTACATTCTCTTGAACAAAAACGTCATTAACAAACATTTGAAATGGATTCTAAACATTTAAACTAAAAATTCATCTCTGGCATCTTCGACGAACATTGGATTTGAATTTTGACCATTCTATAAGAAAACAGCATCTACAACGAACATTGGAAATAGATTTTGAATATTCCATAAGATAATTACATCTTCAAAGAACACTGGATATTGATTTTGAACATTCCATAAGAAAATAGCATCTTCAAGGAACATGAGATGCAGATTTTAAACATTCCAAAGTAAACAGTCTTTCCAAAGAACATTGGATTTGGATTTTGAACATTCCATAAGAAAACAACATCGCCAATGAAAATTGGATTTGGATTTTGAACATTCCTTAAGAAAACAGTATCTTCAATTATCTTTTTAAATATAGATGTTGAACATTCCATTTGCAACAGCATCTTCAACAAACATAAGCTATGGACACTCGACCGCTCGACATGACATCCTGTCTTACCATGAGACACGGGTGATGCACATTCAATATGACTATAACATCCTTCACCAACACCGGTTTTTGATTCTGAAGACTACCTATGACAAAAGCGTCGTATACCAAAACATTATGATTGGGTAGTAACTCTGTACATTCTGGAGATAAAATGGTTTCTTTATTAAATTCTTAACGACACTTGAAGACAATAATGCGACAAAGTGCTCAAGTACGAAATTGAAAAAAATCCAGAAAAAAATAATTAATTAATAATCTGTTATCAAATGCATATTCCTCCGGTATGAAGGGCGATAGCTGGGTTGTTTATGACTTAGTAAAACATGTGATAATGTGTCTTTGGAAATTGGTATTGATTTGGTTTGGTTGGTTTGTGGTTTACGTCCTTGGAACATTTATGGTCATTTAAGGACGTGCCAGGTTCTGGTGTAGTAGAAAACCGGATTGTCTGGAGAAAAACTAGCGACCTGCGGCCAGTACTTGGCGACTGCCCAAAGAAGGCTTCGAACCCGCGACTCGGTGGTGGAGGGCTAGTGATCGTAAGCTTTCAGGCGTCTTTACCAGGTACCAGATGTACATGTGCAGTGAAGCGTTAACCACACGGTATATGTTTTGTTAATGTATCTTTACTGATACATGTATATACAAGTAAACATATCCACGTTATCTGAATTTATCGTTACATATAGAACTTTGCTACATTTGAGGTATAATACAGTTTGCTGCCACGTAACATACTGTTCACGCTTCAATGTATCAGTGTCATTATCTATATGAGGATCGTTAATAATGTTGATAGATATATTGTTGTGCACAGCTTCATGATATATATTTCTGCCAAATTTGAATAACACTTTTTTTTCCATTACAACGAATGGTTTTCGAAGTCGGTAAGTGACTTTTTTTTCGGACTGCCATTTACCAATGATAGACATTTAATGACAATAATCTATAATCGTACACACTGTGATACATACCACTCATTAACAATTGAAGGATCTCTTGTGACGATCATTTAATCGTGATGGACCTATTTTGACGATCATATGACCATGAAGGTTCTCTTAGCACGATCTTTTGACCTTGACGGACGTATGATGAAAATCATTTGACCATGAAGGTCATATACGCATGATCTTATGACCGTGACAGACGTTTTAGGACGATCCTTTGACCATGAAGATCCCTTCCAGACAACCTTCTGACCATGACGGACGTACATGTATTATGACAATCATTTGACCACCAATAAAGACCGTGACGGATGTATTATGACAATAATTGACCATGAAGGTCTTCTAAGCACGATATTGTGCCCTGACGGACGTATTACGACAATTACATGTATTAAACCAGGAATATCCCCTTAGCACGATCTTTTTACCGTGACGTCCTTCCAGGACGATCTTCTGACCTTGACGGACGTATTATGACAATCACTGACCATGAAGGTCCTCTAAATGCCACATTTTCACCGTGACGGACGAATTATGACAATCACTTACCATAAAGGTCCTCTAAGCACCATATATTTGTAACGACGGACGTTTTGTGACGATTATTTGACCATGAAGGTCCTAAAAAAACGTTTTGTTGTCCGTGACGGACGTTGTGTGACCATGAAGTCCTCTCAGGACGATCTGTTAAGTCTGACGGTCATTTGACCTTGGCAAAATCATATAGCTACCATTTCACCAACACAACACTTTTCCCGTGACGAATGTCTCAGTATTCCGGAAAAAACCCACCCAGATTGATTTCTACACAGGAAGAGCTATATCATGCACAAATTGTCGATTCACGCATATCACACTGTTGAAATCATGTACTGAACAATTATATCACAAACACGTTAAAACAATCATTTATGATAATCATAGCGCATAATTGAATAATTTGTATCACTTGTTTGAGCATGTTTATTGTTTATCACTGTTGTTTATAAAACTGCCTATATAAACATTGCCGACGGTATCGCTGGATTGTCTTGTCGCTGCCGAGTATATATGGCGTGCGAGACGATCAGACGGTGATACAAGCTTTTCCGGGACACGACCCGACAGCTGTTGGATACACCACGTCCCGGAACAACAACACCGGACACCTTTTGATACCTGGACACCGAATATCAGGTAAGACAGTCGTTGAGTTTATAACAACAGGCTGGGCCCAACTCAATTCGGTAATAAAATTGTTAAAGTAATGAGTAAATGTGGGATTATTACTCAAATGCGTGGCTGTGCTCAACCTGGTAGACACTAGGTAGAAATACTCCCCAAAGATGGAATACACTACAAGGAAAAATAGGTTTGGAATGTGATCCTCATTGGTTGAATAAAAAATTCACATGAAGGTCGGTGATTTGAGATATAAACCCGGTCTTATTATTTCTAGAAACATCAGGTTTATATCTATATATTCTCAAATTGATTTTGCGCTTTGTTACAGGTTAGTAGTAGTACATGTCACCAAGAAATCAGCTGTTTATATTAGTATGAACGGCTGTTTATATTAGTATGAACGGCTGTTTGTTCCGTGGAACTGCTCATTTAAAATGTTCCAAATCAAAATCGCTACGGCCGCTCAAGTGGTGTGTAAGTAATTCTTTTCCCGTTCATGCTTGCATGAACACTGGAAAAATCCAGATTCAATCCCTATTTTGTGACGTCATAATGTTTTCTGTCGAATGCTTTGCATTCCTCTTTACAATGTTCATACGTTCCATCTTATTTATGATTAATAAATAGTTTTGTTCGGTTTGACAATGCTTTAATTTATAAAGCATATAATTTAACAATTAAAGACTTTCATTTCGGTAAATATGTGGTTATATGGACCTGAGAAAGAGATATTGACCGAGACGAAATTAAGGTTAATACATCTTTTTTGCAGGTTAATATAAACACGTGTTTACCTCAACTAAAGTCCATAATTGATATATATGATTATACACAGTATATATAGCAATCTGTTAATATATGTTGCCAATACCTGTGATCTGTGCACCCACAACAATTAAGTATTATTATAGAACAGGCTATGTTTACATTATGTGCCTTACTACAGTAAAGGTAACATAGCTGACATATATCTATAAATCGTGTCGTTGCATCTAGACAGAGGTCTGGTATGATGTGTGAAATATGATAAAATCGTCTCCAGCGCACTTGAAGGTCGTGTTTGTTCTCACAAACTGATAAGATTCAGGAAGTCTAACTAGCTACTTTCAAACAGTTAATACTGGTTAAAAACACCGGTGTACATGAACTAGTTCTTGTTCCGACTCCATGCAGGGCCAGTATTCATGAGGCCGTTCTCATGGCTTATCTCAGATTCTGTGCTCAACCCCAATTTCTTCTTTCGGTGCCAAATTAATAAATATTCTCGTTTTGTTAATAATTGTATCAAGTTACAAGAAGTTGGGTTGAGCACAAAATCCAGGGTTGAGAATGGGAATGGTATAATGAATACGGGCCCCGGCGTTGGGAGAATATTGAGCTTGACCTGTGATCAACAGCTATGTATTCATTTAGATTGAGTAGAATAATATCCATAAACCGTAGGCTTGGTTTCTAATGATATCATTTGTAAGTATCGAGTCATAATTTTATTTGAAACAAATGCTGTCAATACTAACGTATATTGGTCCTACTGAGGTTGCCTCATTCGGTCATACAATTATAGGAGAGTTTGCCAATATTTTATGTCTCTGAACTAACAAGTAATTTGACTAAGATCATGTGGTCTTCGATAGTTTTATTATCTTATATGTCTGACTTTAAATTACAGTAATTGTACATGTGCATACACCTCGACCTAGTTTATATTACAATTACTGTATACATCTTTCCCTAGTTTGTATAAAACTATCAGTATACATCTCACCCTAGTTTATATAACTCTATCAGTTAATAGTATGACCAAGTTTAAATTAAAATTACTATTTACATCGTGACCTAATTTATTTAACACTAACAGTTATCAGTTTGACCTAGCGTATAATACAATTACTCTGTGTTCATCTTTACATAGTTAATATAACACTGTGAGTTAAAAGTTTGACCTGGTTTATATAACAATTACTGTGTACATTTCGACCTAGTTAATATACCACTATCAGTCAACTGTTTGACCTTGTTTATATTACAATTACTGGATAAATGTTGACATAGTTTAGTATACAATACATGTATAATGGTGTGTCTAGTAATATTTACAATACCTCTATATCGTTTGACTCAGTTTAATTTTCAGTTTCTGTTTGACCCGGTTACTGGCCTATTGGACAGTTGTGTTTCTGTCCAATATCCTCTCAATAAATCACTCCACGCTGTTGATGTATACATATATTTCGACAGATTACAGAATATCTTTTGATGATATATACAGTATCAGCAGAGATATAATGTTTAACATGCAACATATAAAATCGATTTAAAAATGGAAGTTCGCTTTCAACTTGCCATAACATTGATGGAATCAGTAGAAATACATACATAATAAATATATTAAAAATTATCAACACAAACAATCATTCTATACTAGTTCGCAAACTTGTTCAAACGAAAATACATTATGTACATACATATTTACTACTTAGTGTATTTTCGTTTTAACAAGTATTGTCGGCCCACCTACTTTGGTAGCAAAGTGATATTTATTTTCTGTATCCAACCGCATGGTTGCAAAACGAGACTAGTGTGGGGCTCACTGTTTAATATAGCATATTACCTGTGTCATCACCTTGGGAAAACAGAGGTAAGGGGGAGGGCAAAACTTATCTGCCGACCCTCCTCATCGCAACAATCAGGACCCTTACCTATCTTTCGCTGTTGTTATCCCGTTTTTAGAATTTTTGCCAGGTGATGGGTCATGATTTTGTGCCACGGTTATGAGAGATCTGTGTCATGACGCATTAAAAACACCGCCACCCATTCAAGTGTGGACGCTGTCATAATATGTTGTTAGCTATTTTGAAGATGTAAAACCCAAACTAACTTACTGTAGAACGTCATGTTTTAGGTCAATGAAAACACGCCTTTCTTGTCCTTCGTAACATCAATTTTAGATAGGTTATGGTACAGTTTTAAGTTTTGAAATAAATCGAAAATGATCTTTCGCGGAAAAAAGATGTGATAGTAATGAAGTAAATTGTATGGATATTTGTGTCAAAATAACACTCTATTACTGGTTTATTTTAGAAGGATATCGACATGCCGCTCAGGACTTTGAATACAAAGCTGAGAAAATTTCTGAGATGGCTGCAAAAAGGTGTCAACAGATTCCACGATTTGTCCAAAGGTATTATTCTCTTGACGTTTAATGTGATGGAAAAATCATCTACGATACTTAGTATGTCAACGAGGAACTCTTACGATTTTTAAACTCAGTAGGTCTTTATCGTGGTTTTCACAAAATATGCTCCAAAATCTTAAATCGTTGTTCGCCTTTTCCTTGCAAAAAAAGGCTCTCATAGTTAAGTAAGTGAACGAAATCTGAAATCTTTGTTCGCCTTTCTTGGAAAAAAAGAGAGTGAAATCGTTCTTTCACTTTGATATGATGTATTGAAGTGTATAGAGTGGAAAAGTCCAGCGTTCTGATTATAGAAACAATTTTGAGAAAATGATGATTATTCCATTAATTGCATGGTACTGAAAATGGTAGTAAAATGTTTTGACAATGGCTTTGTTGGGCAACTAGCTGCGCAAACGGAAAAGGTGTTCTTTATAATAATTCTTGTGTGAATTGTTGGGATCAAATTCAAACGAGGCAGATCGGTATAACTATCATTTACGTTGTGAATACAGTTTGTTAAACATGAAAATAAATATAATCAGTTATAGTTTTTCTCCTCTCGAATAATTAGGTAAAGGTATGGACAAGGGTTCCTTGGTTTTCAAAGTATAAAATTAATGAATACTTTACCGACTTTTTATCTTGCGGATTGTTGAGTGTGGTTTTTGATATCGGGGTCAGGAAATACAGACAATTGAAGGCAATCCATTCGACATTCCAATAATCTCATACCTGTACACTTGGCGCCAACTCAACCAGTGTCAATCCAAGTGTTATCTCTACCCATTCATAAAATACATTATATTGGGTGTAGAGTGTCCTCGGGGACAAAACTGTCCACCAGCTGCGACAATCGCCCGGAACAGTGGTTAAAAATGCTGACAAGAGAAAACAAAAGCTTCAACAAGACCGTATATAGAGAATAAGACCATGTGTTTCTGAAGTGAAAGCGCTTCAGAACAACAAAGCATACTAATAAGCATAATAAAAAACACCGACTTTCATATCACACAATGTGTCGTGTACAAATGTTGGGTCTGTCCTCTAAGGGTCAAGCCTTAGCAATGTTTCCCTGCCTTAACCTTTAATTTTTTTAATGAAATTTCATATGTTAATTCATACTGATAAGACAGTGGTTAACGAGCCACTCTTGTGTCTGTATCCTGGGGCCAAGAATCGGGTTCATATGTTTTCCCCAATCGAAACAACTCAAGGTTGTATTATTTAACGAACTATCTTAACCTCTAGACGCTACGATGTACTTGGAACCACTGTCAAGATCAAAGCCAGATCAAATGCATCCTCAATACTCCAGGGGTTACGCTCACTTCTGCTCTCGTATCCCTGGAATATGTCATAGAAAAATGGAAGGCTCAGTGTGTGCCACTTTGTACATTTGATGTACATCTAAATAATCTCGCGGTTGCATAACGGTATAATTGACTGGCTTTGAAGTCGAATGTCACTCCTCTGTAATCTTCGACGGGCAGGAATCAGGTTTTTACACGATACCAATCAAACAGTTACCGCGTGCCTTTAATTTTGCTATGACATATTCCAGGGATGCGGAGAGCGAATGTGAGCGGAACGCCTTAGTAATATTAAGAGCGATATATAAATATAACTATTTGACATTAGTTAACGTAGTATTTCATTGTTTAGATTCCAGATTAGGACCCAATGATCGAACACGTCAAATATGTCACTCTACGGACGACGAGTGGTACCACGATCCCGTGTCAAGGACATGGTCATGGCTAGGATGAGACTCGACTGCGCATAAACGGAACTGGAACTTATTTCGTAATTACGTGATAAAACAACCGCAAGGGTGTGTACCTTCAACGATTTTCAAACGTCTAGTGGGATATTCTGGCGCCTGTTGACATATCAATCAACAGCTATGCGTTCAGAAACATATACCAACACGCTAGCCAAAGAGAACGTTGCAACAATGAATCAAAGTGATTGTCATTACTCTCGAAAACGCCGTTTCAAGACGCCTAGACTATACACTGTACGAGGAGCTTATTGATCAATGAATTAATCAGTCTCGTATGTTTCATAAATGCAGAAAATTCGTGTTGTATTCTGCAAAAAGGTGTCAACAGATTCAAGTGGCAGGACAAAAACCGTAAGCAGGACGTGTACCACTCCACTCTCGGTTTTGTCGCAAGAGTAGCACTACAGTATGTGCTAATGTTAACTGTTTTAAAAATGCGAAGTTAAATAAAAATTCTTGTATCTTGTATTGATCGAAAAGGTTAGTTTTGATTTCTATCAATATTGGCGGAATTAAACCGATTTTTCTTTTTTACACTCAATTGAGAACAAAGTTGTATTTCACTGACAAAAAGCGTATTAATTATGTAGAGGAGTTTTAATTTCTATCAATATTGGCGGAATTAAACCAGAAACAAAACTTACACTCAATCGAGAACAAAGTTATATGTTTCACTAACACAGAGTGCATTCTGTGACGTGGTATTTATTCTGGAACGACCGTGTAAAAATGACCAATGACCATTATAATTTGTCGTCTAATTGTGTCTGTAAAATTACCCCGTATACAAATATAGAATTTCTATATAGTGTCTTTATTAATAGAGCTACTGTCTAGCAAAAATTTTAAACTTATTAGAAATTTAAGTAAGTACTTGATTCAGGCAACTGTTAAGAGAAGTCGTATATTATGAAACATAAGCTGTATCAAATTTTTGCTATAAACGTTTTGTTACTGTATAATGCGATTGAGATCTATGTCTTTTATTTCACAATAAGTTATAATCTCATTTCATTATATAATATATAGAACTCGTTCTACCTTCATGTTGAGATTGTATGATTGACTTTGAAGTTTTGTTATTTCCTAGAAATTTGGTTAGATTAAGGCTTTATTTGTATTATTTCCTAAACGACTAAATTATGCAACTAAATTATGCTTCATAAGAGTCCGATAAGTTACCTTAGGAGAACCTTAAAGTTTTCCCAAACTTATGCCAATTTCATAATTTGTAAATAGTATGTATGGAATTGAATCTATTGCATATGTTCTCCGCCATTGTACAAGATGTTTGTAAAGGATTTATCTATATGTATATTTCTGTACGCCTATATGCAATGTGCATTTGGTAATAAATTGAATTGAAAAATTTAATTAAAACACAGTTAATACCTAAATTGTGACAATTGCTCTATCAAAACATCAAAAAATGTTAATACAAATATAGAAACGTATTGGTGATGTGATTGAAATCAAGCCCGAACATGTCTAGGCACAGAGCATTCGGAATACCCTTTCGTCATTTTCTACGAAACTGGCTAGGTAGCAAAGGCGAGGTGTTCCGAATGTACACAGAAATTTCCTGTATTTTTTAATGTTTAAGTCAGACAAAACATGATAACTAATCATAAAGAGTTCAAGTTCAAGTTCTTATTTATCTCAAATCGTATGGCTTATCAGAATTTAAGTACAATACATACAATGTCAACAATACAGAGTAAAGCAATGTATACATTAACACGCGCCTGTTATTCAATAGACGAGATACCAGTTAAATAGAACGCATCCGCAAATTTTTCTAACGCAGTCTTTATTTTTTTTCTAACAATTGATGATTATAAAGACTTTATGTTTTTTAACATGGAATATGTTGGGGGTTTAAGCACTTAATTATATTTTTAGTTTATGGGTAGATCTGACGTAGTGTTTGAAAATTTAAAAAAAAGATTTCAGTATAAAAATGTACCTTAATGGTACAACGAAAGACTATTTTACGTTCACTTTCATGGTATCTGTCTACACTATAGCTGTTCCTCAATCTAAAATGTCAGCTGATATTCTAATTCAAACTATTTTACCGGTTTTCCTCAAATAACGAAGTAGCTGTTTTGTATCGCCGCCCCTTTAGATGGGACACTTTCTTTGTTAATACTTGTTGAGTTAGCTTAGTTGTATATATAACGTTCTATTAGATATTTCGTCTTTGAAAGTCTTTAAAAGACGCGGACACTGAAACGAGTATATAATGAAACATCTCCATTTTTTTTCATTACAACTTTATTGGACAAAATATCAGTATCGCTCACCTGGTATCAATCTAACACTAAAAGGAAGAAGATAGAATACAAAACAATGGACTAAATTTAGCGACATGCCAGACATTACCTTTCTGTGTATTTGGTTATGAAGACGATTTTCTTTTCTAGATTTCTTAAGCCTTTTACCACTGTGGCCATAAAAGTGGGTCAAGGTCATTCATTTAAACAAGCTTTGTAGTCCATCATCCAAATAGTCTCCTAGCAAAATATCACTATCTTTAGATTTTTGATTGTGGAGAAAAAGGTTTATTTAATTTTAAACACATTTGATCTTTGTGGTCTTATAAGCTGGTCAAGGTCATTCATTTGTACAAACGTGATAGCCTATCATACCAACATTCCACTGGCAAACAAATAATATTACCCTGAGACGTTTGGTTACTGAGAACAGGGACATATAGTCTATATACTGTCCCTGCTGAGAAGAGGCCGTTTAGATATTTTAACATATTTGACCCCCTTGATCTTAAAAAGTGGGTCTACGTCATTTAATTAAAGAAAATTGGTGGGCCTTCATTCACACATGCTCTTGACAAAACAGCTTCATCCTTTACCTTGAGTAGAGGTTATTTATTGAGTAGAATCCAACATATTTGACCTCTGTGAATTCGAAAGTCAGTCAATGTCATTTATTTGAACGATTCGGTAGTCTTCCATTCCAGAATACTACAGGTCTATATTCAGAAGTTGTCCGAAGATCTTTAATCACTTGACCCCCAATTACGTTGAAAGTTGGTCAAGGTGATTTGAACAAACTTGATAGTTTTGTTATCCCTGCTGGCTACTGGCGAAAAAATGTATCCCCATTGGCCTTTGGATTGTACAGAAGAAGTTGTTGAAAGTTTTAACTTAATTGACCACAAGACCTTGAAAGAACTAAGACTTTCTTGCGAAATATGAGAAGAATCTGTCAGGGTACTTTCTGAGAAAAAGCTAATGCAAACAGGAATCTGGACTTATATTCAAGGTCACAGGGGGTCAAATATATTTTAACCCTTTAAACGATATCTGCTGAATAGCCATAATACCCCGAATTTTGATGTTTGACCAGTACCATACTTGAAAAAATGTTACAAAGTACGTTATATTTTCAAATGAATGACCTTCACTTATATTCAAGGTCGCACAGGTCAAATGTTTTAAACCTATAAACAACTTTTTTTTCGAATAGCAAAAAGGGCCAGAATAATGATATCAACCAGTAACATGCATGGATGCAGGGCTGCTGAGTTTGTTCAAATTAATGACCTTGACCTATATTCAAGATCACAGGGGTCAAATATGTTTCAAATCTTTAAACAATTTCTTCTGAAAAACAAAGAGGCACAGGATAATGATATTTAGCAATGTAACATGCGTGGATGAAGGGCTACCGAGTTTGTTTGAATATATGACCTTGACTTATATTCAAGGTTACAGGGATAAAATATGTTTGAAACCTTTGAACGACATCTTCTGAATAACCATAGGGCCCATATATTGATATTTAGTCAATTGCATGCTTGGATGAATGGCTACGAACTTTGTTGAAATGAATGACCTACTTATATTCATGGTCACATGGGTCAAATATGTATCAAACCTTTAAATGACATCTTCTGAATAACAAAAAGACCCAGGATGATGATATTTTGCCAGTAACATGCTTGAATGTAGGGCTACTTAGTATGTTCAAATGAATGAACTTGACAAATATTCAGTGTCACATGTACAGGGATCAACTATGTTTTAAACCTTTAAACAACATCTTCAGAATAACCAAAAGGCCCAGGATGATATCTAGCCAGTAGCATGCCTGAATGAAAGACTACCAAGGTTGTTCAAATGTATGACCTTGACTTATATTTAAGGTCACAAGGGGTCAAATATGTTTTAAACCTTCAGACAACTTCTTCTGAATAACCAAAAAGTCCAAAGTGTTGATATTTGGCCAGTTACATGCTTGGATAAAGGGTGATTACCCACTTTCAAAACCTTTAAATGTCAATTGATTTTAAATCTTTTAACATGTTTTTCTGACCCACTTACGGTCATAGTAATGAATACTAATATATTTTGTCTGGAGCTATATTTTAGGCAACTTTTAAGCTTACAAGTGTGAGATTAATACAAGGCGAGCAATGCAGGCCCTTTGTGCCTCTTGTTTTGTTTTTCTTTTACCCCTGTGATCTTGAAACTATGTCCAGGTCATTTTTAGTTGCAAACTTTGTTCAACTTCATCCTAGGAAGCTATGTGCCTCATATCATGAATCTAGGCTTTTCGGTTCTTAAAACAAAGTCATTTAAATGAAAAACTCTGAATAGGTCAGCTCAAAATAGTGATGATCGGTGGATGGAAAACAGACATTTTACGATGGAATAAACAGGAAAATTTCTCTCCTGATTCCTCTGGAGATATCAAAAATAAAACATGAATAAAGCAAAGACAGTATCAATGATAATGGAATGATAACAACTTTATTAGATTCCCATTGAAATTTAACAGTTTGAGATACAGTCATTAAAATGAATTGTTTCATAGAGAACATGACTTAAAGTTATACTTCTATCTATGTGTATACAATAAAATATATCAGCCATTTAAATTTTGAATTATTTTACTAAATATTGATGCCAATATTGATCAATATCAAAATTCTGGAAAAACATGAATATTGGAATGAATTTAAAGCAGGATAATTTTGTGAACAATTAATTACCGGTAAGTGATTTTACTATTAACTATATCATCTTGCTTGAAATCCATTTAGCTTTAATTTGCATAATTGTTAAATTAGAAAATCTTAAACAGGACACCCAGTAAGCATATATCAAAATGGTGGGGAGGGGGCAAATATGGGACATACCAAGGTCATCGAGACCATTGTGAAAAAAACAAATACTGGAATTAAATGTAAGTTTCTGGATGGAATACAAGTCATATATACATATATCTTGATAGGATAATTTTAACAAAAAATGAACGTGCCAATCTTTGTGTATCTGC